ATTTCAAAAAAATATTTCAATCAGATCAATGTTACAATCAGCTGTTTTTCCAATTTACAGTTGTTGTGAAAATTGACATGTCATAAAAAATGATTATAACATCCAAAGTATTTAAATTATTTGTTTCAAATAAAGACTAGGTAATACATATTTGAACAGAGAAGGCATATGCATTTTTATTATTGGACAGCAGTGTTGTTGAACAAGTAAAAAATAGGGTATGCGCACAATTTTTTATGTCTGTAATTTTCATATGTGTCTAACATCCTTGAATGTTGTGTGATTTTAATAATCTTTTCCTGTTATACAGATATTTAAGTAGTTTAGATTTATTCTGCACTCATTTATCTTTAATTTGATACCAAAGTCCCGACACAGCCCAGACTTTTTCTTCAGGAAGGTTTTAGCTTTGTCGTGTTGCACTAAACAAAATTCCACTTAAAATTAATGCTGTCCAAACCCCAGAAAAAACGCCGTCCTGAAAGAGTTAAAATATAATGTTTTCTGTCGTTATTTGTAACACAAAGTCATTTTGTCACTGTTTGCAAAATAATGTCCTTTTGTGGCTATTTGAAACACAATATCCTGCGATCACTGTCTGAAACAAAATGAACTTTTATGACTATTTGAAACAAAATGTCAATTTGTCCCTGTTTGCAACACAATTGTTTTGCGACTGTTTGAAACACAATGTCTTTTGTCATTATTTGAAACATATGTTAGCTAATTGAAGCTGAAATTGTTTTGTCACTATGTGTACAAATGTTAACTATTTGAAACAAATTGTAATTTTGTAACTATTTAAAATATAATATTCTACTGCTAACTATATGCAAAAACATAGGAGACAGACACATATGGACTATCGCCAGAGCTACAGTATTCATGCTTCGTGCAATATTCTCAGCAGGTGGTTAGCTGGTCTGCAAAGAGAGACCGAGCCATGAGGGATAAAAGACGATGCAATGAAGTCGATCTTCCCGACTTTTCTCTTTTTTAAAAACACATATCTATTATATAGATTAATAAAGATAATATTATACCCTATTATATGATACACACCAGTTATTAATGCCAAATATATGAAAACTAAAACATAATAATCTAACGAAAGGAAGAACATATTTAGATAAACATTTTCATGATTCTGATAGGGGTCTGAAGTAGCTGTAGGTGAGCTGGAAGCAGACCATTTGATGTGGTATGAAAAGAAAGCAATGAAAAGTTACTGAATGTCAAATTGCCTCATAAAAAAACATAACAGCAAACAGATTATACTTAGACTGCATACAGGGCACAACAAACTCTGCAGCCACATGTACAAGAAATGAGGATTGGGGATTGAGAACTTGTCCCCCATAGACAGACAGCACAGAATACTGGGCATTTGCTACAGACAGGCGTGCAGTAGAGAGGTCCCAGGTTTGGCCGGTTGGCATTCCAGTGGAAGACATGTTTCACACCACGTTGTCATTCCAGTGGAAGACACGTGTCCCACCACGTTGGCATTCCAGTGGAAGACATGTGTCACACCACGTTGTCATTCCAGTGGAAGACATGTGTCACACCACGTTGGCATTCCAGTGGAAGACATGTGTCACACCACGTTGGCATTTCAGTGAAAGACATGTGTCGCACCATGTTGGCATTCCAGTGAAAGACATGCGCACCACGTTGGCATTCCAATGGAAGACATGTGTTGCACCACGTTGTCATTCCTGTGGAAGACATGTGTCGCACCACGTTGGCATTCCAGTGGAAGACATGTGTCGCACCATGTTGGCATTACAGTGGAAGACATGTGTCGCACCATGTTGGCATTCCAGTGGAAGACATGTGTTACACCACGTTGTCATTCCAGTGGAAGACATGTGTCACACCACGTTGTCATTCCAGTGGAAGACATGTGTTACACCATGTTGTCATTCCAGTGGAAGACATGTGTTACACCACGTTGTCATTCCAGTGGAAGACATGTGTTACACCACGTTGTCATTCCAGTGGAAGACATGTGTTACACCATGTTGTCATTCCAGTGGAAGACATGTGTTACACCACGTTGTCATTCCAGTGGAAGACATGTGTCGCACCATGTTGTCATTCCAGTGGAAGACATGTGTTACACCACGTTGTCATTCCAGTGGAAGACATGTGTCACACCATGTTGTCATTCCAGTGGAAGACATGTGTCACACCACGTTGTCATTCCAGTGGAAGACATGTGTCGGACCACGTTGGCATTCCAGTTTAACTCATGTGTCGCACCACAGACTTCACGAGGCCTGTGAACATCTCATCTGAAAAACCGCTAGCAGGGAGAATGAAGAGAAGAAGAACATGCCACAATAATGTTAAAATACATATATTTAATATGACAAATTGCCTGTACTGCATTTAGAAACAGTCCATTAACTGTCTGTCTGACCGAGACATAGATGGATAATCATCATTATTTTCCTGTCCAGACAGGACTAATAACATGCCAACATATCATAAGATTATTATGTTATGATGAAGAAGAAAGCCTCCTTTGATGCAGTACAAATGATTAAGAAAAGTCATGTTTAATGCAATAAAAATATGTATACAACTAATAAGAAAGCAATTACTTTGACATGCATACACATGACAGTGTTAAAGTACATGATCAGCGGCAGGGACACGTCTCCGTGTTTTCAACACCTCAAAGTCTGATCATATGTTGACGACGTCTACTGTGACCTGTCCTTAGTTCGGATATAACACACTGTCCTTCTCTAGAAAGGCGATAAAGCAAGTCTTGAGGAGAAAAATTGGTGTCTGTATCCAACCATCTTTCTTGCATACTTGATTGGATTATTGTTTTCGTCTCTTGGTGGGTTAAGTCACTATTTGGTTGTACCATATCACTGCCACTTCAGGCCAATTTGTCCACTATTTCACTGCTTTCCAAGCCACATGACCTGGAATCCAATGGAGTACATATTTTTCTACTGAAAAGCGTAAGTGAATCAACTGTCGCATCAAGTCTACAAACTGCATGCTGTCCAGGTCTATTCTTGGTTTTCCAAAATGGAGACTCAGAACCAACACAGAGAAAACCACACGGCTCAGAACCAGCAAAGAGAAAACCACGGCTCAGAACCAGCAAAGAGAAAACCACACGGCTCAGAACCAGCAAAGAGAAAACCACACGGCTCAGAACCAGCAAAGAGAAAACCACACGGCTCAGAACCAGCAAAAGAGAAAACCACACGGCTCGGAACCAGCAAAGAGAAAACCACACGGCTCAAAACCAGCAAAGAGAAAACCATACGGCTCAGAATCAGCACGGAAAAAACCCCACGACTCAGAACCAACACAGAGAAAACCACATCGTCCAGTATCTTCTTTCTTGGCTTTCCTCGGCAGCTCTTCTTCTCCAACTTCCCCCTTGTCTCCTTTTCTCTTTTTTTTTTCGTTTCTAATGATGTGACTAAAGAATGTAGACAGTCTTCTTCTGACCTGGGCCATCAGTTTTCTTTGTGATATACAGCACAGCGTCTCCTTGGAAGTCCAATTATTTCCTTTTTTTAAAAAAATCCCTGCCTGGAAAGAATTTTAACACATGAACACTGGGCAACCATCACATGTTAACTCTTTTAAACACTGGGCAAGCAGACAACCATCACATGTTAACTCTTCTGAACACTGGGCAAGCAGAACCATCACATGTTAACTCTTTTCAACACTGGGCAAGCCAAAAACCATCATATGCTAACTCTTTTGAACACTGGGCAAGCAGACAACCATCACATGTTAACTCTTTTGAACACTAGGCAAGCAGACAAACATCATATGTTAACTCTTCTGAACACTGGGGAGGCAGACAACAAAAACATGTTAACTCTTTTGAACACTGGGCAAGCAGACAACCATCACATGTTAACTCTTTTAAACACTGGGCAAGCAGACAACCATCACATGTTAACTTTTTAAAACACTAGGCAAGCAGACAACCATCACATGTTAACTCTTTTCAACACGGGGCAAGCCAAAAACCATCATATGTTAACTCTTTTGAACACTGGGCAAGCCAAAAACCATCATATGTTAACTCTTTTGAACACTGGGCAAGCAGACAACCATCACGTTAACTCTTTTGAACACTGGGCAAGCAGGCAACCATCATATGTTAACTCTTTCGCCCCAGTGACACTAAAAAAAATGGTGGGCCATGACCCTGTTTGAATTCCATAAAAAAAACGTTACACAGGTCACTAACAAATTCGATAAAAATGTATTTCCCTGCATGTTTAATATTTGTCTAAAATATAACATAAAGATATATGAAGGGAATAATCAACAAACATGACCAGGAGAAATAATTACATGGAAAACATGGGTCTGGGCCTGAAAAAAAACACATGTTAATTTATGCCATGACCCTGCAACCTCTAACACTGAGGCTATGGGAGACATTTTTACGTCAACCTGGCTTTAGGAAAAAAAAAATTTGGCTCAAAGGAAAACCCCTTTAAATGCTATTTTTAGTTAATGAAGCCATATCATGACCTCCTAAACATGTGCGTTGATGGGAAAACAGTCAGTAACATTAACTATGAGTCCCATAAACAAGTCACTTTAGATAAGTAGGAAAAGTGACATTTATGTGGATTTGGGCCTAATTGGGAGTGTCGGTTTTGCAGCTTATCATGGCGAAAAGTTAAGCCTTTGTAAAAATATTTCCCAATTTGTACAGAAATAGCAATTCCACTGCTAATTAGCCCAAATACTTATTTACAAACCAGCATATAATATCTGACATATTTTTAATTTAAGAGTTTTTCGGTTTTAAAATAAGCCAATGAAAGTTGGATGAATGTGTGATAAACTGCATAATAACAAAAGAGTTTAAAATATAATGTGAGGAGGCCCCAAACACTCCCATGGTGCAACTCTCGTACTGTTAGACTTATCAGATATTCATAACTATTGTTATTTTTGTCCCGTCTCTGTCGTCTAAGGCTGTCAAGAACATCTCAGAACACATAATTACAGCTATCATCACTTTCTGCATCACTGACATACAAATCTGCCGCCTCCGTACTCTGAGTGGCAGAGTTCAAGTTCAAAATGCTTTGAAACTGGCTGCAGATTCGGTCAAAATGGGAGCCATCCCAGAATACCTTGCCACAAACGACACATACATAAAACATGGTAATTGTGGAAAATGCCTCCAGTTTTGGAACCGTTTCAACCTGCAAGTAGAGAACAATGAAATACTAGTTACTGGATGTATCATATGTAATTCATCATCACCATCAAGATGTGTCGTAGCGATAAACGCGGGCTGTCAAATTTTATTATCTCACACAACAGCAGAATCACAGATCAGGTCAGTGTTGTTTTTGCCCCAATTTATATGGCTAAGAAATGATCCAGGTATTTATCTTGTTTGCCTTCACTTTGCTCTTTTTTTGATTGGTCACTACCCAGTTGAAGAATCAATGGTACCTTTGCTGTTACAACTAGCAGTCTCCTAACAATGGACACTGTGGCTGTAACAAGGGCATCAGCATGGCTGGGCAGTCAAGAAAATACAGACTAGGGGCGTAAGACAAGAATGGAATTTAACATTAAGCACTTTATGAATGGCCAGCCTAACCTTCATCTTTGTTCCAAAACATGCAGGTGTTTGAGTCAACATGTGTGCAGGTTATGTTGCAGACACTGAGGTCACTAAGGCTGATCCCTACTGGAGAGAAGTGCTGTTAACAATGCCAAACAAAGCACTTATCGTAGAGATGAACACTGCAAAGGGCATGACTCCGAACCCCTGTCTGAACTGATGGAAATAGGAGTGCAACCTGGTGCTGCAAGACATGAACATTTTCACAAGGGAACAAAATGTCTGATTAATTAACACATAACAGGCATCAATGGTCGTTTCACACCTGTGGAGCTTTTGAGGAGGAGATTGGAGCACCTGTGGATCTGTTCTGAGTGCTGTGATGATAATCCTTACTAAACAGTATCACTGATCAATAGAATCCTTTCCTTCTCATAGACTGTAAACAAAAAAACACTGACTGTCTAGATCTAATCTCTTTAATCAGCAAAGTGTTTTTCTTCTCTCTAAAGACAAAAAGGACAGTCGGCATCTGTGGCTTAGGGCTTGCTAATGTGGATTGTAATTCTGAGGTATCCACTTTGATCCCAGCTGCAGACGATTTGACAGCAGACCGTCTTGGATTGTTTTTAACAGTGGTATCGAGAGCCGACTGTTCAGTTAAATAGCAATCTACTTAGTCAAATTGCCTAGAAAAATCACGAACAGCCAATAAATGCTGGGGTTGATTCTGTACCATCCTGTAGAGGATACACAACTAAATTAGAGGACAAAAATCCAAACAATAGAAATGAAATATCAAGGTGATCGACTGGTGTACAGAGATGAGTGCTGAAATCAACCCAGAAAAGGCAAATGTCCTGTGGTGTTCTTTGGACAACAGGATTGTTAGAGCGGATGTTCCAAGACTCAAAATAAATAGCAAAGGACATCAGAAGAGACAGCAGACTGCGGTACCTGGGAATCACCTTTGACAGAAGTTTGTCTTTTAAGTATCACATAGACAGGCTTGTGAAAAAGACTTAAAAAAAGGTATTAATGCACTAAAGATTATGGCAGCAATGGACATGGAGCAGAGAATGCTGTTCACACTTTACCTGCACTTGATCATCTCAATGACTGATTATGGACTGGGTTTGCTAAATGACTCGAAGTGTCAGCTAGAGAAACTGGAACGCATACAGAATGAAGTTATGCAGGTAATCCCAGGATGTATAAGAGACACCCCAATTGTGTGCATGCGATACATCCTTGCAATGCCAACTATTGCAGATAGGCTAAAGGTGCTGCAGGCTAAGTCATATTTCAGAGTAGCTTCAGACAATGAAACACCCTCTGTATGAAGCTTTGGCTGCAGGTAAGGGTCAGAAGCTGAAAAGGGGAAAATCGTGGATGGCTCAAGCAGAAGACACAAAAAGACAAGTAATCATAATGGAGAACACAGGGCGAGGAGAGGAGTGGGTCGGAGTACCAGCGGAAAAGTCTGACCTGTGTAGGGTTATGATCACATTGGGTCGGGTGTACAGAGAGTGGCCAGCGAGTGCTATGGAGGTAAAAGTCCAACAGTTGATTCATGACAATTCACGACCAGGTGATCTGATTATCTATACAAATGGTTTGATGTTGGGAGGAAAGAGAAGTGCCTGGGGGTTCATAGCGAAATCCAATGGAAAATATTTAGTGCAAGACAGCTTAGCATATAACACTACAACTTCTAGCATGAGAATGGAGGTGGAGGCGGTAATCACAGCTCTCCGGTGGCTAGAAAACAAGATGCATATGCATGTCATAATTGTAACAGACTCTGAAAGCATGCTGAGAAAGTGAAGACAGGGATGCTTTAAGCAGAGTGGCAAGCTTCACTTGGAAGGTCACGGGTAATGAGCAAACTTTAGATTTTTTCTCCAGGCTATGCCCCCATGGTGGGTAATGAACAGTCAGATAGATTGGCTGGATCTGCACCACTAGGTTGTGAATTGATACACGACAAGGCAGATGTGGTCAAGGCCCTTTGGGAACAAGCAACAGGAGAAAAATAAGATTATTATGGCCTGGAGAGAATGAGGTACCTGTGTGTAACCAGAGGGTATGGCGACTTTCTACGCTTAAAGGAAAGGCAAGACGGACATATAATCAGATTGTGACCGGTACCATCAGTATTGGAACTCTATGCTGGCTGCTGAAGATGAGGACAGAGCACACATGGGAATGTTCCGAGTGCTGTGATGTCAATTCTTTACTCAATTCAACTCAAAGATGAAAGATTACTAACTTGAATTTTAACTCCGTTGTGCAAGAATGTGATTGTTGCTGGGTCTATCCCATAGTTCAAGAATTTTGACAGTACATCTGGGTCGAGATCCACTGGTGTGTTCCCCCACACAGAGCCGACATCTCTTTCTCCCCAGCCCCCAACAGCTCTGTGCTTGTTCAAATGAAGGTTGTATATGTAGAGAGTATTCATGTCTTCACTAGGGATGCTTGCAAATTCCGCAGAGTTACAGGCCTGAGAGGAAAAATAGCCAGGAGTTTAAAACATTTCTCAAACTTGTCTGGGCAAATAAAATAATCAGTGAGAATATAAATCAAAAGTTTGGTGTTAAAAACATTTGTCAAACTTGTCCGGGTGAAGAAAAATTTAAATTAGAATATTAATCAAAAATCAAGAGTTAAAACATTTCTCAAACTTGTCTGGGCAAACCAAATAATCAGTGAGAATATCAATCAAAAGTCAAAAGTTAAAACATCTCTCAAATTTTTCAGAATGAATAAAAAAATTTAAATTGGAACATCAATCAACAGCTTGGAGTTAAAAACATGTTTGGGTGAAGAAAATAACTTAAGTTTGAAGATGCCATATGTACAAGAAATTCAAGACTGAGGTTTTAGAACTTTGCCCATGTGGACACGTACCACAGACAACTGAAGATGTACTACAGACATTCTCTGCCCATGTGGACACATGCCACAGACAACTGAAGATGTGCTACAGACATTCTCTGCCCATGTGGACACATGCCACAGACAACAGAAGATGTGCTACAGACATTCTCTGCCCATGTGGAAACGTACCACAGACAACAGAAGATGTGCTACAGACATTCTCTGCCCATGTGGACATGTACCACAGACAACAGAAGATGTGCTACAGACATTCTCTGCCCATGTGGACACGTACCACAGACAATTGAAGATGTTCTACAGACATTCGCTCTTCATGTGGACACGTACCACAGACAACAGAAGATGTGCTACAGACATTCTCTGCCCATGTGGACACGTACCGCAGACAATTGAAGATGTTCTACAGAAATTCTCTCTTCATGCAGTAGAGAGATGCCCATTTTGGCCAGTTGATATTCCATGGAAAGCAAGCTACATGCAAAAGTGGATGACATGCATCACATGACAGACTTCACAGAGACCTGCTGCATCACATGATAGACTTCACAGAGACCTGTTGCATCACATGACAGACTTCACAGAGACCCGTTGCATCACATGACAGACTTCACAGAGACCCGTTGCATCACATGACAGACTTCACAGAGACCCATTGCATCACATGACAGACTTCACAGAGACCCATTGCAACACATGACAGACTTCACAGAGACCCATTGCATCACATGACAGACTTCAAAGAGACCCGTTGCATTACATGACAGACTTCACAGAGACCCGTTGCATCACATGACAGACTTCACAGAGACCTGTTGCATCACATGAGAGACTTCACAGAGACCTGTTGCATCACATGACAGACTTCACAGAGACCTGTTGCATCACATGACAGACTTCACAGAGACCCGTTGCCTCGTCTATCAAGGCCCGCGCCAGACAGTGGGAAACCAGGCTGTCATGTGCGAAAAATTGGCTACTGGAAAATTTGAAATAAATAGGAAAATCAGACACCCCAGGAGGAGGAAGAGTGGGAGGGAGAGCAAAGAGAACTCAGACAGCGCAGCAAAAAATACACAGATGCTCAATATTCTGTAGCTGAACATCTGTGGAATAAGAAATAAGAAACTTGAACTTGCCAAACTGCTAAACAACCACAGGGTACACGTGGCTGCCATACAAGAAACCCTGCATAAAAGACTCTGATCTGCATCTCACTGGATATACTAGCTATGCCTGTAAGTGCAATGACTGCCGGGGCATAGTGACCTATATCAGAAATGACATACAAGGAGATGTAACAATGCTATCGACATCTCACCCTACAGATGTGCAAAAAATAACTATCTGGCACAATGGAAGCAAATATACGATATACAACGTGTACAGCCCACCTCAGACAACATGCAACATACCAGAACTATACAAGACACAGTACCATAAAACCCTTCTTGTTGGTGACTTCAACAGACACTCGCCACATTGGGGTTACCCTGACTACAATAGCACAGGGAAATACATCGAAGATACTTGTGAAACAACTAACCTATTAGTGCTGCAGGACACAGAGTCTACACCTACACTGTTACACAGGGCCCACCTATCTCTCAGCCGACCAGACCTGACCATCTGCTCATCCGACTTAGCAGACGCAAGCTATCCCCAAGTCCTGGACGACATAGGAAGTGACCACAAACCTATACTCACAACTGTAAGCACCACCGCTAAATTACGCTTCAAGCCGAGAACCCGTTGGAATTTCCAAAAAGCAAACTGGAAACTATTTCAGGAAACATCTGACTGCCTCCTGGGAAGAATTGACAACAGCTGTGTGGAAACTTTTTGTGAAGACATAACACAAGCAATCCTGAATGCAGCGTCGAAAGCCATCCCAAGGGGCAGCCGGAAGGCATATAAACCTTTTTGGAATCAAGAAATTCAAAATACTATATCTGAAAGGAATAAAGCAAGAATATTGCTCGAAACTGCACGTTCAACAGAAGCAAAGATCCAATACAATAAAGCATGTGCCAGAGTAAAGCTTGTAGTTAATAAGGATAAAAGAGATAAATGGACAGAAACTTGCTCCAACTTAGACCTTAGACAGAATGGAAATAAAGCATGGACTTAAGTTAAAAACCTCTCCGGAGAAAGTAGAAGGGTGAACCCAAAACCAGTGACAGATGGGAGTAAGACAATCACTGAAGACAAGAAGAAAGCAGAACATTTCAATCATTATTTTGCCTCAGTTAACAGAGCAGGTAAGCTGTCAGAACTCAACAGAACACAGCTCTCTCAGTTGAAGAAACAAGAGAGATCTCCAACAGCCAGCGACTCCCTTTTTGAAAATGAATTTAGCATGGATGAATTAGAGCAAGCCCTGAAGAAATTAAAATCTAGAAAATCTCCAGGCCCAGATAAGATCCACAACGAAATGCTGCTACATCTTGGCCGGTCTGGGAGAGAAGTAGTTCTCAGGCTTATTAATAAAACTTGGAGGTCAAGCAAACTTCCAAAGGCATGGAGGAATGCATATATCGTCCCCATTCTTAAAACCAAAAAGCCTCCAGATGTCCCCAAAAGCTACCGCCCGATATCCTTAACATCATGCTTGGGCAAAGTTGCAGAAAGAATGATAAACAGGCGCTTATATTGGTTCCTTGAGCGTTCTGGTGTTCTATGCCATGAACAGGCAGGCTTCAGAACCAACAGCTGCACAGAAGACCAGCTGTTCAGACTGACACAAAGAATACATGATGGCTTCCAGAATAAGAAACACACAGTGGCAGTCTTTGTCGACCTCCAGCAGGCCTATGACAGAGTATGGAGAAAAGGTCTCCTGATGAAGATGATGAGCATAGGAATACATGGCAGATTGTATAACTGGGTGAAATACTTCCTGATAGATAGAACAATCCAGACTAAGATGCACAACGCAATCTCTTCTAAAGAAGTCTTGGAGGAGGGCTTGCCACAAGGCTCATCATTGAGCTGTACACTATTCCTAATCTTTATCAATGACCTGCCAAAACAAATCAAGGCCGAAAAAGCCTTGTACGCTGATGACCTAGCAATATGGCAGAGTCATGAAAATGTGGAAAGTGGAGCCCAAAGACTGAATGGAGACCTTAGAAGACTGCATGAGTACTGCCAAAGATGGAAACTCAAGGTTAACTGCAAAGACGGTCTACACAATCTTTACCAAAAGCCACCAAGTAGCAAGAAAGAATATTAACCTGAGGTTAGACAAACACCAAGTGATGAAAGAAGAGCATCCCACATACTTTGGAGTCACACTTGACCGGCAGCTCAGCCTCAAGAACCATATTGAAAACATCAGGAATAAGGCATTGAGGCAGTTACAGTTATTAAAGAGACTTGCAGGTACATCATGGGGATCAGACAAGGAAACTGAGGGGCTTATATCTAGGATATGTTCGCTCTGTGATAGATACAACAACTCACTGCTTACAACTTGCTCCAAAACTAACCTAGAGACTCTTGACAGAGTACAAAATAATGCCCTCCGATTAATCTGCGGAACTATGCAGTCTACACCAACTGCTGCATGTGAAATCCATACAAATGTGGAACCCCTCGGGTTGCTGAGAGAAAAAGCCACTTTAGAAATTTATGAAAGATGCGTTAGGAAAAATCGTAACCATCCTAATAGACATCTTGTAGAAAACTGGGAATACAAACAAAGAATAAAGCACAAATCGGTTTTACACTGTGTTAATGAAATTCAGGACAGATACCACCTCCCAGAAAGACGTCAAGGAATTCAGAATGTTGCAAGAAACCTACCACCACATGCTCGCTTTAAAGCTCCAGAAGTCCGAACTAAATTGGTAAGCGAGGAAACCAAACAGTCCGACCCAATCGCTCTTATGAACTCATCACTAAAGACCGTTGATTCTTACCCCCAAGAATGGATACATGTCTATACTGATGGATCAGCATTTAAAGCTACCATTAAAGCAGGTTACGGAATCTACATAGGTTATCCCGATGGAACTGTTGAAGAGATTTTTGATGCATGGGGAGAATTCTGTTCAAACTATGAAGCTGAAATAATTGCACTGGAAACAGCAGTATACCACCTAAAGACTGTAATGGATGTTTACCCTTCAAAGGTCCAAAATATTGTCATCTTCACAGATTCAATGTCTGCCCTTCAAGCTCTGGAGGGCAGTGAACGCTGCAGAACTGATATAGCCAAGATAATCCTGGATGCTGATCAGCTCATTACCTCATACAACATCAGAATAGTGATGCAGTGGATTCCAGGACACTCCGGCACACCAGGTAATGACAGAGCTGACAGATTGGCAAAGAAAGGAGCAACACAAGAACAACCACCTACAGCGACAACCCTCCAGACAGCAAAAACACTGATAAGAGCTATAAACAAAGAGACTTGGTTGAACAGATGGGCCATGGGAGACACTTGGAAGAGAGGTTTATAGACATATGTCTGGCCCTGATCCTAATGACAGCATTACCCATCTAACAAAAAGGGACCAGGCCACCATCTTCAGACTTAGAACGCAACATACTCCACTCAATGGACACCTAAACAGAATACAGCCACAACACTCCCCAGAGTGCCAGCTATGTAACTACCCCTACGAAACTGTTGAACACCATCTCTTTGAGTGCCCAAAACTCAGTGAGACAAGAAGAACGGTACTCCCTCCGAGACCAGACAAGTGGAACACCTTGTACGGAGGAAAAGAACAGCTTGTGAAAACATGCAAATTCCACTACATGGCATTGGGCCAAAGGGCGAAAGCTCATGCGCCGCTGGATCGATAACAACAACAACAACAACAACAGACTTCACAGAGACCTGTTGCATCACATGACAGACTTCACAGAGACCTGTTACATCTCATGACAGACTTCACAGAGAGCCATTTCATCACATGACATCCTTCACAGAGACCTGTTGCATCACATGACAGACTTCACAGAGACCTGTTGCATCACATGACAGACTTCACAGAGACCTGCTGCATCACATGACAGACTTCACAGAGACCTGCTGCATCACATGACAGACTTCACAGAGACCTGTTGCATCACATGACTGACTTCACAGAGACCTGTTGCATCACATGACAGACTTCACAGAGACCTGCTGAAAAAAACCTCAAAAATATTATTTTACCGAACATCTGCTGAAAATGTCATCCCTTGTGACTTGAATGTTAAAATGTTGAAGGACATCTAGACACTGGTCTCTGGCGCTGATGTCGTGGGGAACGCTGTAGCACATGTTGGCACCAACGCTGGCCTGGACCTGTGTATAAGTAACAGACCATATCCTATTTAATTTAATGGCATTTACAGTAAAACTCACCAGGAGAGGGACGTAGGTTAGAAACCGGCAAAGGATTGGTACCGGAAAAGAGTACATGGCAAGAGCACCCATATTTTTACAGACCATTCGGCACTAGGTGGATAGTATGGTCAGCATTGTGGCCATCTTTTCTTCCCCAGGACATACATCATGGTAGCCATTTTAGGCTGGGTCGACCTGACTGTCTTGTAGCCTGTCAATATTGATAGGGATGTCAACTGTGTAAGCCACACACCATCATCATATCAATTCTCTACATGCCTAGTGGCACATGAGGCTTCAGAGAGGACTTACACACCATTATGGTGCAAATAAAAAGTGTGATATTATGATGGCCACCTCACTTTTAACATGCACCAAAGAGGAGCAGCATCCTACTATTAATTTCTTTACCAGTGAAGGGTGTGAACCTACACTCATTTATCAGCGAATGGATGTCCAGCTGAATGTAACCAGCCTAAAGTCTGTACAGGGATTAAACTAAGGTTGGTTTGCCTCCCTAGATTTCAAGCAAGGGGCTTGGCACCTTTCCCCACGGCAGATGCACAACAACGAAGGAAAACCCCCCAAAAAGCCACCTTTTTTAAGGCAACAGGACAGCCGTAGATTTGTGAAAGATATTTTGGGAAACTGCGGAGTGTTTTTATATAAAATGATGAGAATTTCCCGCCGATTTAAAAAAGAATGAAGAAGTTTTAAAGAAACCGACTACAAAGGGGAACTGACGTCCCAAGCAGAAGGAGATAATTACATTTTTTGGTCATTTGGGTGAGAAGGAGAAAAATAGGGTAATGCAACAGTAGGGGAAAACGCAGGGGAGGAGAGGCAGAGGGGGGGGCTAAGAGAAAAAACTGGACAGTTTGAATCACGATGGGGATCAACNCTTGGTTGAACAGAAGATGGGCCCATGGGAGACACTTGGAAGATAGAAGGTTTAATAGACCATATGTCGGGCCCTGATTCCTAATGACAGCATTACCCATCTAACAAAAAGGGACCAGGCCACATCTTCAGAACTTAGACGCAACATACTCACTCAATGGACACCTAGAACAGAATACAGCCACAACACTCCCCAGAGTGCCAGCTATGTAACTACCCCTACGAAACTGTTTGAACACCATCTCTTTGAGTGCCCCAAAACTCAGTGAGACAAGAAGAACGGTACTCTCCTCCGAGACCAGGACAAGTGGAACACCTTGTACGGAGGAAAAGAACAGCTTGTGAAAACATGCAAATTCCACTACATGGCATTGGGCCAAAAGGGCGAAAGCTCATGCGCCGCTGGATCGATAACAACAACAACAACAAACAACAGACTTCACAGAGACCTGTTGCATCACATGACAGACTTCACAGAGACCTGGTTACATCTCATGACAGACTTCACAGAGAGCCATTTCATCACATGACATCCTTCACAGAGACCTGTTGCATCACATGACAGACTTCACAGAGACCTGTTGCATCACATGACAGACTTCACAGAGACCTGCTGCATCACATGACAGACTTCACAGAGACCTGCTGCATCACATGACAGACTTCACAGAGACCTGTTGCATCACATGACTGACTTCACAGAGACCTGTTGCATCACATGACAGACTTCACAGAGACCTGCTGAAAAAAAACCTCAAAAAATATTATTTTTACCGAACATCTGCTGAAAATGTCATCCCTTGTGACTTGAATGTTTAAAATGTTGAAGGACATCTAGACACTGGTCTCTGGCGCTGATGTCGTGGGGAACGCTGTAGCACATGTTGGCACCAACGCTGGCCTGGACCTGTGTATAAGTAACAGACCATATCCTATTTAATTTAATGGCATTTACAGTAAAACTCACCAGGAGAGGGACGTAGGTTAGAAACCGGCAAAGGATTGGTACCGGAAAAGAGTACATGGCAAGAGCACCCATATTTTTACAGACCATTCGGCACTAGGTGGATAGTATGGTCAGCATTGTGGCCATCTTTTCTTCCCCAGGACATACATCATGGTAGCCATTTTAGGCTGGGTCGACCTGACTGTCTTGTAGCCTGTCAATATTGATAGGGATGTCAACTGTGTAAGCCACACACCATCATCATCATCAATTCTCTACATGCCTAGTGGCACATGAGGCTTCAGAGAGGACTTACACACCATTATGGTGCAAATAAAAAGTGTGATATTATGATGGCCACCTCACTTTTAACATGCACCAAAGAGGAGCAGCATCCTACTATTAATTTCTTTACCAGTGAAGGGTGAACCTACACTCATTTATCAGCGAATGGATGTCCAGCTGAATGTAACCAGCCTAAAGTCTGTACAGGGATTAAACTAAGGTTGGTTTGCCTCCCTAGATTTCAAGCAAGTTTACCTCCATGGGTTTTAAGCTGGTTTGCATCCACAGGTCTTAAGATGGTTTGCCTTCATAGGTTTCAGGCCTTTCATTGTCAACAGATTCGAACTTTTTCTTCTTAGCAGTCACCGACTGTAAACTCCAGCAGAAATCTCTGGTTGCTCATCCACTTATGATATTTAGTCTTGTTTTAAAATTTGAGTCTTGTGTGCATATCTGTTTGACATATCTGGCTTATTTATTTGCAGACTGTTGGCACCTTTCCTCACAGGCAGATGCACAACAACGAAGGAAAACCCCCTAATAAGCCACCTTTTTAAGTCAATCATGGACAGCCTGTAGATTAGTGAAAGATTATTTGGAAGCTGCGGAGATGTGGTTTTATATATGAATGATGAGAATACCCTAGACAGATTAAAAGAGTAATGAAGAAGTCTTGAAAGAAACCGACTCACAAAGAGAACTGACTGTCCAATGCAGAAGGAGATAATCTACATTGTTTGGTCATGTGATGAGAAGGAGAAAACTAGGGTACATCGCAACAGTAGGAAAGTCGCAGGGGAGGAGAGGCAGAGGGAGACTAAGAGAAAAGATGCTGGACAGTTTGACATCACAGCATGGAGGATCAATCATCTGTGTCAGAGTTGACTGAAAGTACACGAGACAAGAAGGTTATGGATAGGCATACACCAGACAGAACGTTGTTGATAGACATGACTACCAGTGCCACATTGTATGGACTTTAAGAAAAAGAAGTCACCTTTTATGACATGCATGCTTCTTTGAGGGAGGGGGTACGTTGGTAAATTCCACCCCCCCCCCCCCTCCCCAAAATGGGAGCTCCAAAACTCAAAAAGGGTGACTCCAACTTAATGCCCAGAGGAACTTCATCAACATACAATAAATAAAAATAATCAACTATAACAATTTTCTATTGTGTCTGTACTATACTGGAGTTCCTTCTTCTCCTTCAATTACATCATCGAGGTGCAGAGGAGATGTCAGGATCTTTACTCCATCTTTTGCATGGTCTCTATCTTGCTCTATGTCCATTATATTTCTTCAGCATGCCTCTCTGTGACAGTTGGTAGCAGGACATTCTCATCAGACGGCCAAACCATCTCATCTGCTCTTTAATTAACTGTACGATAGTTGTCAGTCCTAGTTTTCTCTTAATTTCTCCATTTTTAATGTTATCTCTTGTTGTTACCTCGGCAGTTCTCCTAAAACCTTTCATCTTTGTTGTTATGTTTCTGTGCTCACTAGCTGTAGGAAAGTTCATGAGTCCATGTAGTGAAGCTCTCTTGAGAACAAAGTTCAATAGAAGTAAATGCATATTTTCATCTCTGCTTCCTTGATTACACAAAGGCTTATGATAGAGTAAGGCACACCAACAGGATAAAAATGCTTACAAATTGATGGAAACTTACCAGATCCCTGATTCTAGAGATTGTATAAGATGACAAAACATTACAGCCAACCCTTACCAGCACGGCACATGATGATGATGATGAAAGGTCCAAGATGGGAATTCTCTGGAGTTTAATGATCTCACTCCACACTAAAAAGAGTGATGTGTAAAGTTAAAACATGCCAAAATGAACATGTCTCACCTGTTCATAAGCTTTTCCTGATGAAAGAATAATGCGCTTGTCTCTCCTGCTGATCTGTGTAATTAGAAAAAAAAAAAAAAGTCCGGTCAGATTATTTATTCTTCTTCTTAGAATCAATGGCTATGAACTCTAGTGAAAAGTTTTGGTTGTTCATCCACTTCTGGACTTTAGTCTTGTTCCAGAACTTGAGTTTTGCATGCTCTTGTTTTACACGTGGCTTTTGAAAAATAATTTTAAAATGTAGTTAAATACATTTTACATGAATTGATTAGCGACTTGTATAATCATTTTTGGTATTACACATTTTTTGTGTTCTAGTGAGACCGTGACTTGTTTTTCAAAGTGCTGCCGGGACAAACAGATTTAATTGTTGTTAATTTGATATTTTTCTATTCTGCTTAACTGTTTCGTTCCTGTGATAACATCACACATTATAATCTTTCACATTATTTCCACCCCTTTTGATTCAGATAAGCGTTTCATGAGCAACGATCCACAGACCTTACATTTGTACTGCATCGACTGCATCTCTGTGAATTACTTAAGATGTATTTGGGCACACAGACCTATAATTCCCATATTAGTTACCTGTACAGCATCATTGTGTCTCTGTGAATTACTCAAGATGTATTTGGGCACAAAGACCTAGAATTCCCATATTAGTTACCTGTACAGCATCACTGTGTCTCTGTGAATTACTCAAGATGTAGGTGTCCACCCCACAAGTCCGCAGCTGGCTACCCAGGCCCTGTAACATGGTATCACACACCACACGAAACTCTCTAGGACTTCGGGCAGTCATTGGTCCTTTGGCCGCAACTTGTCCTTGCTGAAATAAAATTAGCAAATTGAATCAACTTATTGAGAATGGAAATTAGCAAAGTTTATTATTTTAACTTGCAGTTTGGTCAGCACTTTTGTTGCTAATTAGAAATTTGCAAAGTTTATCAATTTCATTAGCAGTCTGGCCAGCACTTGTACTTGCTGAATGGAAATGAGCACATGTTATGAATTAAATTTAAGCACTTTAAATAAAATGCAAGCACTTAATAATTCAAGGGTGCCATGCCAGTGAAGTGGCTAGCAAGCTTGCTTATTTGCTAGAAGGTCAGTGGTTCCAATCCTCAGATTCTTTAAACTGGTGTTTGCTGAACAGGCCATGAGCATCACAAGATGTTCTGCAAGTTAAGGTCATCAGCACAATCATCATCATGTGCTTTGCCGATTGGCGTGGGCAATCATGCCTCTCCACAATCTGCGATCTCCTGCAGCAAGTATCAGTTCGTGTGCTGACACACCTCCATGCCATGCAACAAGACTGTCAAGAATCTTCTCTGGCTGTCTTCCTCTATCCCTCCTTCCACAGATATTTCCAGTGGTCACAACATGTTCTATTTCCCTCTTCTCATAACATGGCCGAAAAATGATGACTTTTTCCTTCGGATGTCTGTGATAAGTTGTCTTTGGGCTCCCGCCTCTTTCAAAACCTCTTGATTGCTCTTTTTGGCTGTCCAAGGTATTTTAAGCATTCTTCTGTAAAACCACATCTCCTAACCTCAAGAAATTGTTTGGCCTGCCTACCGATTGTCCAGGACTCACAGCCATATGTTAAAACTGGATGTATGTAGCAAGCAAGAATTCCTTTTCTAACCCTCATTGACAAAGATGTACTGAATAAAATGTTCTTTATTTTATAAAATGCAGTTTTTGCCTGTCCTTTTCTGTTTCTTATTTTAGTAATGCATCTTCCATCTGACGTAATCCATGTGCCCACATACCTAAATACTGACCTCATAACCTGTCGAATATCAATTAATCTATGAGGGGGGTTTCAAATGAAAAGCTTACAAGTGTGGAAAACCGTACCAGTGTGGAAAACCTTACGAGTGTGATAGAGATTACAATAACCCTGCCACTCTCTTGTAACCTGTCAATATTGTTGGTAAGGATGCCACAATGTTAAACATACAACATCACTGTGTAGATGAACACAGTGACATCATAATGATAGTTCAAGATAGATACCCCACTTTTGATATGCACCAAAGAGGAGCAGCGTTCTGTTATCCATCTTAGTCTTGATCGTTCCTTTATCGGATCTATTCTCAATTCTACAATTACATCTTCATAAAGATTTTTTCCTTTCTTTTTCTTTTCAATGTAACATTGTGTCTTCTATCAATATTTGTTCCTAAATGGTCATCAGAATGTCTCTTTGTCTAGCGCAAGTGTTCCTGTAGCTATCACTTTTGTAGCCCCCCCTCTCCCCCTATTCTGTTTTTTCAAAGAACTCCTTTATAGAGCATAAAATGGAATAGATAGCTTTTACTAACAAACAAACAAAAACCAACAAAAGTTGCAGTTTGCCATTGCTTTCTGAATGGTTGGCTCTCAATACCCGTTAAAACCAATGTAAGGTGGTCTGCTGTCAAATCTCCGAAAGCTAGAATCGAACAGGGTACCTTACAATTACAAAGTGCATTCGCAATGCCTAAGCCACAGATACTAAATTACTAAATAAACATTTACAAAATTCAAGCAGCGGTTTTAAAAAGAAACCAGACAACTTACAGACTGTGCATTGCTAGATTTGTTGGCATATGCTGCCTTCTCCCTTCTCCTATCCATATTGGTCTTGATTCTCAAGGTCACCTGGGGTTCAAGGTCACTTTTGCTCAAACCCAAGGCTTGTCCTCGTTTTAAAAGAGCAGTGTACACATCCAGCAACACGTAAGCATCAGTGGCTGGGTGAACAAGATCAACAGTTTATTATTACTATTACACTCCCATATGTGGGGAAGAAAATCAAACCAGACCCACTGTTTCCTCAAAACATATGTTGTAATAGGTGACGTATTAGGGGGGTTTACTTCAAAGTTGGAGAGCATCTGAATGTACATGCAAATCTCCAGTTCTGTAAGAAGGTCTAAGTCCAGAAGTGGATGAACACCCAGAACTTTCTGCCAGAGTTTGCAGACGGTAAACGCTAAGAAGAAGCACAATGTTAAGTTTATGAGAATCCTCTTCTGTTTGGATTGTTGGATTGGGATTGTGTTATGATCCACTATAATAGGAAGGCAATAGCTGTATCTTTCTGGCCAACACATTTCAATCAGTTGAAGACAGAAGAGACTGATAAATGTAACTGTAAAACTGGTAACATGACTGCTAAGTGAAACATTAGAGAACAGAGACAATCAATCTGACCTACAAGTGTTGTGGATAAACTTTTAAATGTTAGCAACCACAAACTGCCTGATGGTTTCCTAAAATATATTCTGGCTAACATCTGAAGGTGTATAAATATTAATAATAATAATTATAATAATAATAGGAGTAAAAGAAGAAGATGATGAGGAAGTAGAAGAAGACAAAAAAGAACAGGAAGAAGATGAAGAAAAAGAAGAAGAAGAAGAAGAAGAAGAAGAGGAGGAGGAGGAAACAGAAGAAGGAGGTGTCTGCTCCAGACCAGGTCCCTTCATGTGTCAATCTCAGGTCACAGTCTGGGGGGGAAAATAGACCCACAGCCCCCACCCACAAATAAGATGTCGTAATAGATGACTATTTAAGGGCTTGCAAAAATTGTATGTGCTGGTCCACATGGCGCAGATACTGCAGCCTAGCTTCAACCACAATACAGTGTGCCAACCACCCTTTTAAGGACCAATGTAGAGGCAGAAGAAGAAGAAGAAGAAGAAGGAGAAGATGATGATGAAGAAGAAGGAGAAGATGATAAAGATGATTAAGAATTGTCTCCCTTTAAACCTAAAAACTAAAATGATGAGTATAAACCCACACATTCAGGAGAGAGAAAGAGTTCAAACAAAACATCTAGGAGAGGGAAAAGTTCCCCCCATTTCTGTTCACCTGCATAGATAATTTGTGACTGCCTCAGTGGCCTCTTCTCCCAGTTGGACATCTGTTCTCCTTTACTGAGTGGTTTCCCCAACATCTTCTTCACCAGAAGGCTCAAACCCTTCTCTTCACTTCTGGAGACCTGTTGCCATGCAGCTTCAGAAGATGGCCCTGCCGTCATTTTTTCTTTATTAAAAAAAATATATTATTCTAAGCTTAAGTGTTTTGTGATGCTTTTTATTAGTTTACCCAACTTCCAATGAATTAAGAGGTCAAAAAAGACACTGGCAATGGATAGGACACACGCTGAGAAAGCCTGGTAACAATATAACTAGAATGTCTTTGCTCTGGAACCAACAGAAGCCTAAAAATAAAGGCTGATAAAAAACACAAGGAAAAGAAATCTTCATCTTCTTCTTCTTGACTAGAGAGTGAAGTTGAAAAAGACAGGGAGGGCATGGGGTGTAATGCTTGCAATAGCAAAGGATAGGACAACTTGGTGTGAGTTGGTCGAGGATCTATGCTTCACTGTGGGATAAACGGAAAAAAATATAGATCAATGGAGGCAGGTGATATCTGTTACAATAAACATGACAGAGTAAAGCATTAAATGAAATAAATTCTCCACGGCCTAAAATAAAAACATGAAGAAACTTTATGTATCAGTGACGTCATGACATCTATCACTGGGGCTTATGGGGAAATTTGATGTTAACTTGGCTTCAAAAAAGCCACTGTGGTCCACCACCCTCCCCCCACGCTTTTGTTGTAGTTAATTTATTCATATCTTGACCTACTAAAACACTGCAGGGGCACACAGAACCAATAGAATTTGAATGACACTTTATGAGAACAGGTCACCGTAGACAAGCATTTAGAGGGATGTGTCATAACCACAAATGACTAGATTTCATTTTCCCAATAGGGTTTAGGAAGAAGCTTGGCAAGATTTCAGGAAAGAAAACTGACTCCCGGATACACAGACCTATTTGTGGGGGATGGAGTCTTGTCTTAGTTTCTGTGGCTCTGCAACATAAAAGTTAGTGAATGGAATTAACCACTTCATGTTCCTCTAGTACTACAGTTAAAGTCAATCTTGCCTGGGAGCCTCGGTAGCGCAGTCGATAGGAGGCTCGCTTTCAAATCCAGCTGCGACTCACTGCAGCCACGGTCGATGTTCGAAACTGGGTGGTTCCTGGGGTTCACCCGGCCTCTAGAAAATGGGTACTAGAGTTGACACTCTGGGGTGAATGCAGGAACCTTGCTTTAGCTATGGAGTTATGCGGGGACAGCGACACAGGCGGACAGTTTCTTATCAGCTGTCCGTACTGGTAGCAGAGCACTTATGGTTTATAACCATGTGCAATGATGCTGGTTCACATCTCCAGACTTTACCTTTTACCTTTAAATCTTGCCTGAGAGACAAGGAATGGGAAACTGACAAAAAAAAGCCAGTAAAACGGATGTACACACAAAACTCAGGCCCAGGCACTAAGCCAGAGTCCAAACAGATGAACAACCAGGAGTTCACAGCTGGTGAACGCAAACAAACAAACAAACTACAGAATAAAGGAATTTAGATTGACCCTTACCTTCGGGTTGATCTTTAGCGACACCATCATGATCAGCAGCTGCTTCTCCAGGGGTAGGCTCCTGATACTCAGAAATTACCTAGATAAAAATGTTACAAGACTTGACTTTCGTTACCTTGCAATGCAACTTTGGCTCCTTGACGACCCTACCACATTAAACATTTTAAAGCTTCTCCTCTACTATTCTATTCTTTCTCCAGGTAAGATGTATTTGGGAACACAGACCTAGAATTCCCACATTAGTTACCTGTACAGCATCACTGTGTCTCTGTGAATTACTTAAGATGTATTTGTGCACACAGACCTAGAATTCCCACATTAGTTACCTGTACAGCATCACTGTGTCTCTGTGAATTACTTAAGATGTATTTGTGCACACAGACCTAGAATTCCCATATTAGTTACCTGTACAGCATCACTGTGTCTCTGTGAATTACTTAAGATGTATCTGGGAACACAGACCTAGAATTCCCATATTAGTTACCTGTACATCATCACTGTGTCTCTGTGAATTACTTAAGATGTATTTGTGCACACAGACCTAGAATTCCCATATTAGTTACCTGTACAGCATCACTGTGTCTCTGTGAATTACTTAAGATGTATTTGTGCACACAGACCTAGAATTCCCATATTAGTTACCTGTACAGCATCACTGTGTCTCTGTGAATTACTTACGATGTATTTGTGCACACAGACCTAGAATTCCCATATTAGTTACCTGTACAGCATCACTGTGTCTCTGTGAATTACTTAAGATGTATTTGTGCACACAGACCTAGAATTCCCATATTAGTTACCTGTACAGCATCACTGTGTCTCTGTGAATTACTTAAGATGTATTTGTGCACACAGACCTAGAATTCCCATATTAGTTACCTGTACAGCATCACTGTGTCTCTGTGAATTACTTAAGATGTATTTGTGCACACAGACCTAGAATTCCCATATTAGTTACCTGTACAGCATCACTGTGTCTCTGTGAATTACTTAAGATGTATTTGTGCACACAGACCTAGAATTCCCATATTAGTTACCTGTACAGCATCACTGTGTCTCTGTGAATTACTTAAGATGTATTTGTGCACACAGACCTAGAATTCCCATATTAGTTACCTGTACAGCATCACTGTGTCTCTGTGAATTACTTAAGATGTATTTGTGCACACAGACCTAGAATTCCCATATTAGTTACCTGTACAGCATCACTGTGTCTCTGTGAATTACTTAAGATGTATTTGGGAACACAGACCTAGAATTCCCATATTAGTTACCTGTACAGCATCACTGTGTCTCTGTGAATTACTTAAGATGTATTTGTGCACACAGACCTAGAATTCCCATATTAGTTACCTGTACAGCATCACTGTGTCTCTGTGAATTACTTAAGATGTATTTGTGCACACAGACCTAGAATTCCCATATTAGTTACCTGTACAGCATCACTGTGTCTCTGTGAATTACTTAAGATGTATTTGGGAACACAGACCTAGAATTCCCATATTAGTTACCTGTACAGCATCACTGTGTCTCTGTGAATTACTTAAGATGTATTTGTGCACACAGACCTAGAATTCCCATATTAGTTACCTGTACAGCATCACTGTGTCTCTGTGAATTACTTAAGATGTATTTGTGCACACAGACCTATTGTGTTGGGAAATGAGCAGGCACATAGATTGTCCAGCTCTGCACCACTTGGTGGTGAATTGATGCATAACACGCTAGATGTTGTGAGGGCCTTTTGGGAGTGAGTGAACTGTGCGGAGGCACAAACAAATCATTACGGTCTGAGGAGAATGGTGCTGCGGGGAGTTACCAGGGGACCTGGCCAACACTCAACACTCGAGGGAAAGGTGAGACGGATATAAAATCAGATAGTTATTTGTACCATCAGAACCGGAACTCTTCGCTTGCTGCTGAACATGGGGATGGAGTGCTTATGAAGCTTCCAGAGTGCTGCAATGTTGATTTTAAATTCAACATTTTATATTCTTCTCTCATATTAACCAATGAAAGACAAATGTTAATCTCACAGTTTTCATTTTACCTCATTAAGATTGGACAACTGTTTCTCCAAAGCAGACACAGACAGTGGGTTATAAAGATTCGACAACTGTTTTTTCCAAAGCAGACATAGACAGTGGGTTATAAAGACTGGACAACTGTTTCTCTAAAGCAGACACAGATAGTGGGTTAAAAAGATTTGACAACTGTTTCTTCAAAGCATACACAGACAGTGGGTTATAAAGGTTCGATAACTGTTTCTCCACAGCAGACATAGAAAGTGGGTTATAAAGATTCGACAACTGTTTCTCCAAAGCAGACACAGACAGTGGGTTACAAAGATCGGACAACTGTTTCTCTAAAGCAGACATAGACAGTGGGTTAAAAAGATTTGACAACTGTTTCTTCAAAGCAGACAGGGGTTATAAAGTAATGCAGTAATAGCTGCTCAGGACTGAAAGACTAAACAAATAGTTCAAAGTTTTTACTGTTGATTGTTTAATTAAAGCTAATCTTCATCACACATCAGACATGACCATAAGTGCTCTGCGATCTCCTCCTGAGTTTTAGGCTAACCACTCCCATTCTTTTCAAGTTGAAGGGCGGCTCCTATATGTAAGGGGGGGTTCGCGCTGCTCCAAGTGGTAGATCCAGGGTTTGAAGTCTACTCAGTAAAGAATCATTGTCCATGTTTTACAAGAACCTGATGTGACATAAAGAAGCTCCATACCGCACGATTTTCAACAAAAAAACTGAACTGGATTACAAGATCCAATATTATAATTAGGATTACGCTATAAAGATCGCAGTTATAAGCGAAAGCTCTTAGCATCTGCCTGAATACAAACAAAACTTTAAAGATTTAAAAAAAAAATAAAAAAAATAAGTCTAGTCAAGTGCTAGTGAAATGTATGGCTTACCTTAGATGCCAGTTTCTCCACATCAATAACTTTGGTCAGACTCAATAATGGCTCTTTCATACAAGGAAAAGTCTTACACAACATCCTCAAATCTGTGTCCAGGCCATAACCTGTTGAGAGACAGGAGAACACAGAAATGAAATTTAATAAACAATTGTAGCAAGCAGGTTGCATTATACACAAGATTCCTTTGCAAAAAGTTGTTCTCATCAGAGTCTGCCTGAAAGAAACTGTCTCTGACTAGCTGTGCCGCCTGTGAACCCTCCTACCCAAGGTGTCCCTTATATGCAGTGCACATCTTCGCCCCGGTCGGCTATGCCCTCTCGGCACCAAACCGTCTGCTATTACTTGTTTCCAATCCACTATGGTGCGTTCGAGACAAGTTTCTGTTTACTAGCCAATCTTCTCTGATGTTCAGATCTTTTAGGATGTAAGCATTTCTCTTCTTCTTTCCCACAGTATCTGAGAAAAGTACTATAGCATTATAGCTTAAAAGCTCCTATCTTCTTCATTAAGGACCGGGAGATGGTCCACGACTCACATATGTGTCTTGCTACAGGGAAGATTCATGCTCTCAAAACTGTGACTTTCTTGCTGGTGCTTAACCATGGACAAGAAGAAGAAGAGGAAGGCTGATGTAAAGTGATTAAAGCAGTATAACAGGATGGGGAAGAGGGAGGAAGAATACAAAGATGATGAAAGGATGAATATACTGAAGATGCACAAAAACAAAAAGAAGATGCTGGAGATGAAGAATGAAGAAGAATCTACTTTTTGCACTTAAACCCTTACCTATTTTCAACACTGCCTCATCACAGAAGATGGTTTCTGTCAACTCTACCCACTCTTCCTCCCCCATGTTGGGGCTGAGCTCCATAAAATCCACCAGAAAGACGTGATCTTCCACCGCAAGCTGCAACAGGGCCACTCTTTCCGAAGCTGTCCCCATGCAAGGCTTCCATTCAGCATCTATTCCGACTATTGTCTGTGGCTGTGGGATGAAACCACTTTACATCAACATGTATTTTATTTAACTCTTTCTTCTCCAGAAACCCTTTTCTTCTTTTTAATAATATTTAAGAAAGAAAATTAGTTACTGCCTTGAACTGAAATAGGGTTAAAGTAAAAAACTAAAACAGAAAAGTGGTTAAAAAGATTTCAGACTGAAGCATTTGAAGTAACAACAATTTAAAGTGAAATGGAGATCAACAATTACATTAAAAACTAAGACAGAAACAGTTGAAGCAGAAAAAAAAATAACATTTAAATTAACAACTAGGAACTCACAAGGAGACAAGCCAAGGTCAGTTCCGAAAAAATCTGTTTCAGCGCAAATTGAAACCCAAGATAGCTGGGCAAGCAAGTGTCTAGTCCCTATACTACAACAGCTATCAAGCAAGAAAAAAAGATGTCATATTACCTTCTGAAGTCTGTCCAAACACAACAGCAATTTTTCTTTTGTGTCGACCACAGTGATCTGACTCTCTGAAATAGGCATGGTGTAATAGACACTTGTGGTGCTCTGTGTCTGTTCAATCTCCTCATCCCAGTCCTCTTCCACATCCATCACCTTGGTCTCATTAGGCTGCTCATTTGCCAGTTGTGCTCTTTCTTTTCTGTTTCAAAAGAAATCTTCTATTAACAAAATAAACAAAACTGTGTGCGTTATGGGGCTCCATTTTGGGGGGAAAATTTAGACCGACCCCCCTGCCTCCTCAGACTGACCCTCTGCCTTCTCAGACCGACCACTGCCTAATCAGACTGACCCCCCCCCCCCCCCCCCCCCCCCCCCTTGCCTCCTCAACAAGTGGTGAACAACCAGAAGTTTCCACCAGACTTTACAGCCAGTGAATGCCAAGAAGAAGAGAAAGTAAACAAGCATTTTGCAGATGACCCTTACCGGCTGAGGAATGCAGTTTACACAAGGGAGGTTGAGCAAGCCTTACCATTCAGGATGAGATTATTGAAATCTTAGGGGGGTAAAACCTTCAGGTAGCATCTCAGAGAGGAAAAACAGACATTTTCCAGCCATCACAAAAAAAAAAGGGTGGGGGTGGTTGGTAGAGTGGTTACCACTTCTGGCTCTCATACGGGAGACCAGGGGTCGACTCCCAGTAAGGTGACTGTTTTCTGTTAGGGGAAAAATTAAACATCTTAACCCGTACAGTTTGTGGTGACAGAACAAGCTGTGCCGCCCTAAATACTCAGGCTCATGACCCCTTCACCCCCCCTCCCCGTCTACACCGCCCTAAAAAGTGGTACACACAGACAGCAGTGACAGTTTATAAAAATTCTATATATGAGACATGTTCAAAAGACCTGTATATTGGAAAAATACAATTACTCACCCAGAGATGTTAATTATAATCCTCTTTAAGTTCTTACACTGTAACTACACCCCTGTATGGGTTCTGAGGCCCCATTTTGGGGAAACAATTATAGACCAACTGCCTCCCTAACAAGCATGTCACAAAGTTCTGTAAAATATCTTCTTGTTACTTAGATTCTCAGTTTAAGAAACAGCTTATCATTGCTAATCATAATGTGGTGGAGAGTATGTGAAATCACAGGAACTATCTGAATGAGAAGAGTAGTGGGTCTCTGTGGTGAAGTGGTCAAGCCATTTGCCTCATGCTCTGAAGGTCATGAGTTCAATACTTGTCATTTGGTTTGCGAGTATAATTTTTACGGAGACCCACAGAGATCACTGCCAGAGCTATGGTGTTTGGGCTTTATGCAATACTCTTGGCAGGCAGTTAGCCATTTTGTAGAGAAAGAAAAAGCCATATGGGATGAGACCTGGTGTACTGAGGTAAATCCCCTGGACTTTAACAATAATGTTTGACTCAGAAGTAAAGGATGAGTGGGTCTGCTGTCTAAATAGAGCTGCCAAGTTCCTGGGCATCAACTAATCCAGAGCAATCCCTTGTGGTTTCCTTAAACACTCTAAAAAAAAACACTCTCTGAGATACCAGAATATTCTCTGAAATATGACATACCTTAGCTGAACCCTGGCTTCGACTACACAAGGGTCCAGGACACAATCCGGCAGGCTGTACCTGTCCGCCCACTTGACGGCCTCTGTGATGTCATTGTACCCAAGCAGCTCCAAGATCAGTTGTTGCTTCAGGTTGTCGTTTCTGCCAACTGCACTCTGGATGAAGGCAACAAATGTGATGCAAGTAGAGGACTTTGCAAAGCAGCCAATATTGTGAGGAATACATTACACATTTAATACATTCTTCTTCTTCCTTTCCTTATCATCATGTAGCAGGTTCTTTGCAGAACGTCATTCTCATCACGGTCTACCTGAAAGAAACTCTGTCTCTTGCCAGCTTTTTCTGCTTCGCGACTATCCTACCCAAGGTGTCACTACTGTTATTTTTTCCAAGCTGTCATGACACTTGATATGACCAAAATATTTCAGTTTCTGAGACAAGATACTGTTTACTAGCCAATCTTTCTAGAGGTTCTGATCTTTTAGGATGTCTGTATTTAATTTCTTCTTTGTCCATTGTTTTCTAAGATGTGTTCAAAAGCATTTCAGCTCAACAGCCCCAATTTTCTTCCTTAAGGACTTAAGGATAGGCCATGAATTGACATCTGCTACCGTTAATCCTTCAGTGGGGCACAAACCATCAACCAACTCATGTCAAATGATCCCAGAAATGCTTAAAGCTGGCTGGCTTTTGAGGCTGCGGATTTTTAAAGGTTAATGAATGAGGTCATTATAGCCGAAAATATGAAAAAAATTAACCAGTGAGGAATAATTTTAGCATAGAGCTACAACAAATAATTGCGTTAGTAATAAAAAATTAGTAAATAAACAGATGAAATTTAAAAAAAATGTCCACTTACCACCATGGCACTCAAGAAAGACTGGTTAAAATATATCTAAAATTAATCACAAATGAATATGAACCACTTAGTAATGTGTAAGTTAAAAAAAACTCAATCTATACATTAGATTTTGTTCCAGAGAATGTTCTGAAGCATCAGTGAGAGAATGTTAAAGTCTACCTCCTTTCCGGTCAGTGAGAGGATGTTAAACTCTTCCTCCTTTCCAGTCAGTGAGCGGATGTTAAAGTCTCCCTACCTTCCAGTCAGTGAGAGGATGTTAAAGTCTCCCTCCTTCCAAGTCAGTGAAAGGATGTTAGTCTCTCTCCTTTCCAGTCAGTGAGAGGATATTAAACATTTCCTCCTTTCCAGTCATTGACAGGATTATAAAGTCTCCCTCCTTTCCAGTCAGTGAGAGGATGTTAAACTCTTCCTCCTTTCCAGTCAGTGAGAGGATGTTAAAGTTTCCCTCCTTTCCAGTCAGTGAGAGGATGTTAAATTAATTTGTAAAAGTCATCTGATCTGCTGAATCAACCCAGCTTGAAGCTTGCCCCACATCACATCATACTTCTTATAGTGTCATATCTTCTTCTTCTTCCTTTCCTCCTCCCCACCAGTAGATGTCAGAGAAGAAACCCACAGGCCTCTATAAAGTTTGTGGTGCCACACTGTGATGTGCTGTAAAGGCTGCGTGGTGATGAAAATGACTAGGGGGCGTCGCAATGTAACAAAAGGGCATCAACACTTAACATGCCACTGGCCAAGTGTAACATAACATGATGAATGTTGAAACTTCCAAACGTAGCGGAACGAGAACTCTCTTTAAAAGTTCCATTTGTGTATTGACAAATAGCAATGATCAACACAAGGAGAAATATGCACGTAATATTTCATACTCATTCAAGCACATCAACAAAAGCCCGCTCAAACATCCATGGACTGATATGTCCTCATTATAGGTTGCAGTCCGACCTTGAGATCCAGACGATTATCTTTGTCTTCGGACAAGTCCGAATTAAGCAATGAAAGTATACCGGCTTACTGCCGAGCTGTGACAATTCACCTAAACATCAACTGCAAAGTATACCGGCTTACTGCCGAACTGTGGCATCCCGGGGTAAAACGTCCTCAAGGATCCAACTTTATACAACGTTTGCTTCCGTGGGATCCCGGGGTAAAGCGCCCTTAAGGATCCACACGTCCGTCTCCTTCGGACTATAAACATCAACTCCTTTGACAACAATACCTTCACAACGTTACGTATTGTTTTGACGTCTTATTTGCTCACTCCGTACCGGTGCGTTCTAGTGCACATTCGCACGCGACACACACATGTCTTCCACTGTTCCATGCAGCTTGGGTTCCACTGGAGTGCCAACCGGCCAGACCTGGGATCTCTCTACTGCATGTAGACAGCATGTTCAGTACTCTGTTAAATCATGGCTAGCTGAGTTATTCTTCTTTCTTGTTCAAGTCCTGCTCTAGCTGGTCAGCTTTTCTGGCTGAAGTTTTCAACATTAAAGGATAACCAGTCTCACACCTATCCTTTTTAGTGACTCCTTTCGTTGGGATTTGGGACGCCATTCTGGTAGCAAAGAGAACAGAACCACTGCTCCCAAAAAGTAGGTGACCAATCAGGAGTTTAATGAAACTGGAAGTGCGGGGCCTAAGCTGCAGATATCACAATCTGTCTGTACTCAAGGTTTGTAGCCAAATTCAGCAACTTTTTTCAAGGGTTTTCGAGGGGTTTTTAAGGTGCTTTATTCATGCACACAAATATAGCGCTTTTACATCTTTTATAGACTCGCTAACAGAAGGGAGCTAACTGCCGAGAGGATCATCTGAATGCTTGTTAGCTTCCAAAAAAAATCAACTCCAAACTGCCTTATATAAGGTAAAAGCACAATAGTTCCACAACATAATATGCCCACTGGCCTTTAAAGTTAAGGCTGTATGCAGAAGAAGAATTTCTTGTTCTTAACCTCCTTGTCTTGTAAAAGTCTTAAAACAATGACAGTTTTCAAAGTTTTGTTAAAAAAGAAATGCAGTGTTATAATTCCCCTGAAACTCTACCCTATCAGACTAGAGTCAGGGAAAAAGAAGATGAAGAAATTTAATGTTTTTATAAAAATCCAGATGGTTAAAACCTTTAAACATCGAGCAGACAGTTGTTGCATCATCGCAGCCTCCAAAGCCAATGGATTTTTTATAATTATACTCTCATTAGCTTGCGCAAAGGTGATTACAATTGTTTCCCCCTATTTTAAATATATGAAGGGAAGTAATCGTTAAACACAAACAGGGTAAAGAAATAAGTTATTTCTTTCCCTTTGACCAAGAAAACAAAGAGTTTTGTTGACATAGAGCAAATGGATGTCATCATAAGTTAATTAAGACGTCACAATGACCCCACCCCCAAAATTATATTTTTACTAAAAACATACCTCACATTTTTGGGGGTGAATATAATCATATCCACCCACACTTCCAGTTGCAAAGCTGTGATATATCTGTACTGACCACTATCCAAAGACATCATGTTATCCAAAAAATGGTGGGAAAACCAGCTTTCTTAGGACAACATGGTTGCAATATGAATAGTAGCAAAAATTGTTGCATATTTTGCTTCTCTTTAGGGACAAGGTAATATGTAGGCATCATCAAGGTAATGTGTAGGCATCAACAAGTAAATGTGTAGGCATCAACAAGTAAATGTGTAGGCATCAACAAGTAAATGTGTCAGCATCAACAAGTAAATGTGTAGGCATCAACAAGTAAATGTGTAGGCATCAACAAGTAAATGTGTAGGCATCAACAAGTAAATGTGTAGGCATGAACAAGTAAATGTGTAGGCATCAACAAGTAAATGTGTAGGCATCAACAAGTAAATGTGTAGGCATCAACAAGTAAATGTGTAGGCATCAACAAGTAAATGTGTAGGCATCAACAAGTAAATGTGTAGGCATCAACAAGTAAATGTGTAGGCATCAACAAGTAAATGTGTAGGCATCAACAAGTAAATGTGTAGGCATCAACAAGTAAATGTGTAGGCATCAATAAGTAAATGTGTAGGCATCAACAAGTAAATGTGTAGGCATCAACAAGTAAATGTGTAGGCATCAACAAGTAAATGTGTAGGCATCAATAAGTAAATGTGTAGGCATCAACAAGACGTAAAAGCACATGAAGTAACAATACTCACCTCAACCATGTCATCCCAGCCACTATAACCAATAGATTTCTGCAACAGAAACAAGATGTGTACACAGAAGAAATACCCACAAATCTAGATAAGACATTCAATTTTATGTTAGGAATACACCCCGCAAAGGTTCCAGGGCCCAATTTCAGAATTAAGCACCTTGTATGACATGCTTGTTATTGCGGGCGGGGATCAGTCTTTCCCTCAACCTGGCATGTAACCCCCCCCCCCCCCTCCCCCCAAAATGTGTCGGCTGCTCTTTTAAGGGCAGAATCAGAAGATCAGCGACACAGTCTAGACCCACGTTTTCAATATCTTCTTCTTCTCCTCAATGAAGGATGGGCAGGGGCTGACCAACATAAGGATGAGCACAGGATATAAGTGACTTCTTGAATACGAAAGTACACAAGATGAGAGAGCTGGTAAGATATATTCTTTCAGGCAGACCGGGATGAGAGCGACGTTCTGCAAAGGACCTACTACATGATGATCTTCTTCAGTGATCAATCTTGGTCTCATCTGTTTTGGGACACAATAGGGTCTTCATAGGTTTGTTATTTTATCAGTCTGGAAGGGTCGTCTGCACTGAGCAAATATCTTCTCTGCCTGGCAAGATCTAGGCAACCTGGCAAGACATGCTTTGGGGTTTCTTGTGTGGGTTCATGACCTCATTTTAGGAGAAATAGGAATCAAATCCCTGCCAGTTGCTTGTTCCCCAGTGGTTCAAATGGGAGATTTCATTTTCACTGGCACAAAACAGAGCAAGTATGGGGTGACCCACTTGCAGAGATGCTAAAACCTCGACTAAGACCTGCCATTTAAAAAAAGGCTCTGTGCTATGTTGCTAGTGAATGAACGCAATTTACAAAGACAGTAGTGGTATACTGTCACCAACATTCAATAAGCTAAGGAGATGACCTAGAATTTTTTTATGTCGTCTTGACAGTGTTAAAAAGTAAAACATGAAAGTAGGAGGAGAAGAAGAAGGGGGAGGACAAGAAGAAGAAGAGAGGTAAAACAAAAATGAAGCAGAAGAAGAAGAAGTAGGAAGAGAAAAAGAGAGGCAAAACAGGAATGAAGAAGAAAAATAAGAAGAAGAAGAAGAAAGGCAAAACAGGAATAAAGAATAAACAGGTGAAGAAGAAGGAGGAGAAGGTCTAGGAGGAGTAGGAGGAGAAGAAAACTACATAAAATCAATGTACCTCAACGTAACGCTTGTACATGAGATACCTGATTGCTCCCATGGCTCTGTTCTCAGAGATGTTGGGACAAGCTTCTGAAATATACACAAGCACACATTTGTCTTGAACTTTTGCTTTTAATTTTGTATAGATGTTCAGTCACCTATCTACAATCATTTTCTCCTTTAAGCATATCCCTTTCCTGATTTATTCCATCAATGTGTCACGGAGTGAATCAACCAAACCCTACACAGTAGACTAGTCATGATGTTGACGCCCCTAGCGGACAGGTCACATTTCAAATTTTAACCCGTCCGGTGGGTATGTAGTCCCTCATATTGATATATACCTCTATCTGGTGGAATAGATATTTCTTTACCCTCTAGTTGTTTTGAAAAATCTACATTTTCAAACTTGCAACTGTGGGATAGATATTTTCTGGAATAATATTCTGAAATCCTAGAAACCTTTTGACTCCTTGGCATACTAATACGGGACTTTTTTTCTAGAAACACCAAGCAAGATCAGGTGGGGTCATTCTTTGCCTGACTTCCTAGGTGTGCAGAAGCATTTCACCTCTCTGATTAAATCTTAGCACATTCAGAATACCAGTTTAATCTTTGAAGGATTCCTAAGCTTGGGTAAGTTGATTATAGTTTACGAGTACAATGATATATGTCTCTATAAAGTTAGCCGCTGCTGCAGGGAGGAAAGATTCAGCTGGGTGACAGCACAGAACTAGGCCGTTCTTGGTATCCAGACAATCAAGCCCCTGAAATCAAACCTTTTCCTTCACAAGCTGATAGTTTGTGCCCTACTGAACCCAATACCATTATAAATATATTTAACCTAGCAAGCTAATTATTCTTTAACAGACCGACCGAGTTTGGGTCGATTAGCGGACATATTTAACTGGGCCACACTTGAGCCTACAAGATGCGGTGACGTCAGAGGTTAATTTTAGCAGACACAACATCACAGTGTGTGCGATCAGCAGACGGTGGATGGTATAAAATATATATGTGAGGGAGAGATGGGATGTATATCTACAAGTGCAGAGATGGGTGTGGAGAGTTGATGGTCTATGTTTAAGAGAGTCTATCTGTCTCCACTGTTGTACTTGTCTCTGTCCCTGTTCCTGACTGACTGACAGAGAGAAATTTGGAGACTTCTGCTGTCTCATTATCATAGAGCTGTCCTCTGAGTGACTGTCAGGGGTGGAGGGTAAATAAATGAGCTGAGCATGTAACCTCTGAGATAACTACTAATTCTGAGTTCCTTCCTTAAATCCTTAAATCAAGCATGCGACACGAGCGGTATGTGACACAATGCAACACAGTCCATGGCATCTTGTCCTCACGAATCCAAACCTCAATATTTGTATCATTCATGTCACACTTGCATATTAATTATATCACTGTAGAGGGTGAACCTGACACTTTCTTCTTCGTCTGCACATTATCCCCCAATTACGCTTAGCCTGCCAATGAATTGGTGCCAAGTCATCCTATCAAATTCACATCTTGAGATTTCACTATGTCTCTGTGTAAATATGTATTAATACTGTACCGAATATTCGCTTCGCATTCACTTCAGGGCCGAATAGTGGACCTAATAACTATTCTGTATTCGGCCAAATACCTCCGGTCAGGCCAAATACGAATAGTGGTTACCTTACACCTGTTTCTGCATACACTGCGATAGACTGATATAACTCTCTCATTAACACAGTTGCTGTTGCCTAAGTCTGTCGTAGCAGGGGCAACTGTGACCCGGTTGCGCCGTACAGCATCCAGTTTTAACATATAGCTGTGAGTCCTGGACAATCGGCAGGCAGGCCAAACAATTTCTTGAGGCCTCAGAGATGTGGTTTTACAGAACAATGCTTAAAATACCTTGGACAGCCAAAACAAAACAAAAAAAGCAACCAAGAGGTTTTGAAAGAGGCGGGAGCCCGAAGACAACTAATCACAGACATCAGAAGGAGACAGTCATTATTTTTCGGCCATGTTATGAGAAGAGGGAAAAGGTAACATGTGGTGACCACTGGAAAGATCTGTGGAAGGAGGGATAGAGGAAGACAACGAGAGAAGATTCTTGACAGTCTTGCTGCATGGCATGGAAGTGTGTCAGCACACGAACTAATACATGCTGCAGGAGATCGCAGATTGTGGCAGGGCGCCAGATGATGATGATACACTATTCGTATTCAGCCGAATAGTTGGTCCCACTATTCGTATTCGGCCGAATAGTAAAAATCCCTATTCGGTACAGACCGAATATATATATATATATATATATATATATATATATATATATATATATATATATATATATATATATATATATATATATATATATATATATATATATATATATATATGGCAGGGCACTTATGCACTGGATCACTGCAGATGCAACAAACAATCATAAACTAGGTATGAGCCAAACAGCTTTCTGCCACTGTCTTTATGGTGAACAGACTCCAGAACATGTCTGCAAGACTGTCCTCTCCTGGAGGAGCTGCGAAGCAACACGTGGTCACACCCAGTAGACATGACAGCTAAGCTTTGGAGAAAACTAAGAGATCTTGAGATGACATCCCAGTGTATGGCCCACAGTGGATTAACTCTTTTTGAGTCCCAGGGCATGCATCACGCGCTAATTTGTTTCAACCTAGAGGCCCAATCGACACGTGACAAGTGAAGCTTTTAATCTACCACTGACAGGTTGTAAAATGTGGACCGCTCAATTTCAACTTCCTTCCGAGTTGTTTTTTTATCTGATGTCAGGTGTGCTCATTTAGAAACGTGGGTTGAAATCAGAAAATTTAGTATATTTGTGAGATTTGTGAGTTACTGTTTGCTTGAAAAGAATATGGCCGCCAAGCACTATTCTACGTGCATGCCAACATGATTTACGGCCTTAGAAGCCTACAATTTGAACAAAGAATTAGATGTGTTTCCGTCATTTATAGAGTCAAACTTTGATCAGGGATATGTCTAATGTGTACCTCATTGAAGGGTACAACAACAGCAAAGTCAGCTGGCACAAATAGAGTAAACATTAGTGTAAACACGATTTTCTTCAGTGTCAGTTCTAGTGCTATTCCCCTTATTATTTAGGAACATAGTTACAAAATTACAGGCAAATTGAGTGTTAGATAAACTTTGTTTTGCGTGAAGATACTTATTGTTTTTGGATTCAAGTTTTCTTTACCAAATAATGCTGCTCTGATGCTTTAAAGGATTCTCTGGAACAAAATCGAATGTATAGACTGAGTTTATATTTTACTTTTACATTACTAAGTGGTTTATATTCATTTGTGATTAATTTTGGATACATTTTAACCAGTTTTTCTTGTGCCATGGTGGTGAGTGGAATTTTTAAAATTTCATTTTACTAATTTTTGTAAATATACTATCTATTTATTTACTCATTTTTAATTACTAACACAATCATTTGCTGTAACTTTATGCTAAAATTATTCCTCAACAATCCCTGGTCACTTTGATGTATAATATGTGTATGTTACGCAGCAACTGAATTAGTATGGTCTGTTTTTATGTCTTACACTTGTGAAATTAAAAAACTGCATTACCACCCCTTTGGCCTCTGATGCTAAACCCTCTGGGACTTTGAGTTAAGAACAGCTTTACAGAAATGGCTGAAGAAAAAGAGCACAGCATGGAAATGGCTTCTATGATTTGACTCAAGATCGCCACTCACCTGGGGGGATGTCGTACAGTTTCATCAACCGCATGGCAAATTTACTCAGCACCTTTTTGTTCAGCTTCTCTCCCTTGACGTTCTTGATACCACTGCTTCTAAACAAGGGGAAGTAAGTATAACATAGTTTATTAGAAACCAACTGGAGTGAACTGCAGTAAAGATATATATGGTTTTAGTGTTATTTCTGTCTTTGATGAAGGAATCAATTAATTAATCAATCTTTTTGTTTGTTTTATGGCTGCTGTTTGCTGGTGAAGACTTGCTGAAACATTGTTTTTTCCATTTTAGCCTTGTAAAGACAGTTCTTTTTTTCTGTTACACTGTTACATTCTTCTCTTCTGCTTTCTATCCCCTAACTGAGCAGAGGCCCTCAACCAACTCATGCCTAGTCATTCTATTGCAGGCAGCTCACCCTATCTCCTCCCGATCGTTTTAACTTCTTTTTCTAACTCTCTTCTCCATGCATTATTTGTATATGTGCATATCCATTAAATATTTTTTTATAATAATAACAGTTTAAAATCATGGCAACCATTTTCGGTGATCCTGCACAGATCAATGTGACTACACAGCATGTGGCTAAAGGATCTAAGAACCTGGCCTCACAAGCTGTAACAACATCAGTAGTTGAAAGAAGGTACATAATTGGCAAAAGAGAACCTGGCCTCACAACCTGCAACAACATCAGTAGTTGAAAGAAGGTACATACTGGGCAAAAGAGAACCTGGCCTCACAAGCTGTAACAACATCAGTAGTTGAAAGAAGGTACATACTGGGCAAAAGACAACCTGGCCTCACAAGCTGTAACAACATCAGTAGTTGAAAGAAGGTACATACTGGGCAAAAGAGAACCTGGCCTCACAAGCTGTAACAACATCAGTAGTTGAAAGAAGGTACATACTGGGCAAAAGACAACCTGGCCTCACAAGCTGTAACAACATCAGTAGTTGAAAGAAGGTACATACTGGGCAAAAGAGAACCTGGCCTCACAAGCTGTAACAACATCAGTAGTTGAAAGAAGGTACATACTGGGCAAAAGAGAACCTGGCCTCACAAGCTGTAACAACATCAGTAGTTGAAAGAAGGTACATACTGGGCAAAAGACAACCTGGCCTCACAAGCTGTAACAACATCAGTAGTTGAAAGAAGGTACATACTGGGCAAAAGACAACCTGGCCTCACAAGCTGTAACAACATCAGTAGTTGAAAGAAGGTACATACTGGGCAAAAGAGAACCTGGCCTCACAAGCTGTAACAACATCAGTAGTTGAAAGAAGGTACATACTGGGCAAAAGAGAACCTGGCCTCACAAGCTGTAACAACATCAGTAGTTGAAAGAAGGTACATACTGGGCAAAAGACAACCTGGCCTCACAAGCTGTAACAACATCAGTAGTTGAAAGAAGGTACATACTGGGCAAAAGACAACCTGGCCTCACAAGCTGTAACAACATCAGTAGTTGAAAGAAGGTACATACTGGGCAAAAGACAACCTGGCCTCACAAGCTGTAACAACATCAGTAGTTGAAAGAAAGTACATACTGGGCAAAAGACAAAATGTCTGTGTTGCGAGCACACAGATGGTCTAGCAGAGACAGGATGATGGCTTGCTGTTCTGGGTTGCCCATGACGTAATTCTCAATCACATTTGATTTATCTGTCAGCAGCAGCGGGACAAGTATCTGCAACAATAACAAAACAGAAAATCCTTTCACGTTGTTTAAGGACTGTACCACATCGTTTGTCGACTATCACACTGTTTATAGACTTTATCATGTTGTTTATGGACCGTATTATATTGTTTATGGTCTCTATCATGTTGTTTATGGATTGGATCATGTTGTTTATGGACTACAATGTTGATTAAGAACTGTATCATGTTCTTTATGAAATGTTTCTTGTTCTTTATAAACTGTTTTATGTTTTTTTTTGGATTTCCCATGTTTTTTTTTTTTAATGGACTGTATCATGTTTTTATTGAATATCATGTTTTTAGGAGTATCATAATTTGCAAGGGTAGTATAATTGTTATGGGCCCTATCATTTGTATGGGTAGTATAACTGTAATGGGTAGTATCAGTTTCATATGTTGCCTCCTCATCTGACACAGCAAAGCAACATTGAGCATACATAGTGGCATGGAACGCAATAAGGATGCACCAAAGTATACTTAGGCGGTGTCCGCGGCTACGGCGTTGCGAATCCAACGTACCACGATCGAAACCTGTGTGCGCTGCGTGGATTTTTATCGTGGTATGGGACATCACAGGTCGACCCAGCCTCAAATGGGTACCAGGATGGGCTGTCCTGGGAAAGTAAAGATGGCCGGCGTAATGCTGACCACATTACCCATCGACTGCCGATTGGTCTGTAAAAATATGGGTGCTCTTCCCATATGCCCGATGCGCCTAAGGGCGTGTAAAGGGATCTTTACTTTTTTTTTAAAGTATACTTATTGTTAATGCCAGAAGCTGCAATCATCTGGGGGTGGCAGGATTGTACCTAGTATGAATATTCTAGCTTTCACTATGTACGTTCATGTTTCTAATGTGTCCTCTAATTTCAATTTCCTTTGTCAACTTCTATAAGTGTAGTCTTCATGGGAGGATGTTGCAGTACAGCAACTAGATGCTCGCCTATAGATTAAAAGGTTGTGTGTTCAAAACTTAACAGAACCAGACTTTAAAAAACATGATAGTGGCTCCCAGGTTGACTGAGCCTTAAATGGGTACCAAGGAAAGTTTTGGGAAGTAAAGACAGCCAGTGTGATGTTGACCTTATCACCCACAATGCCCACTGGTGTACAAAATATAGGTCTAGCACTATACGCCCAATATGCTCAAAGTGTGGAAAAAGGTCTTTTACTTTTTTACTTCTAAAAGTGAAGTGCTAATCGATACTTGTAGATCTGCTTCTGATGATCAAAGAAATGAGAGCAATTAAATTAAAGGGGTTTCACAACAGTCAACAACAAGTCAGAAGACAACAAACCTCATTCTGGGAGAAATGTGACTGAAGTCCAAGTTTGGCTACAATGTGAGCAGCCTGTGAGAAAGACAAGCAGACAACAAAAACATCAATAAAGACAATTCTCTCCAATGGTACAGTTCTAGTGGTGCAGCGGTTAGCTGCTGAGGACAACCGGAACATCCTGCAAACAAATAAAATCTGTGCCATCTCCACAATCAAGGTTAGATGCAGTGGATACTGCATTCTTTGTGATTATGACATGATGAAGCCTAGTCTCTTCCATGGTGAAACTCTCATATCACTGCCCCCCCCCCCCCCAAAAAAAAAAATTGTGAAACACACTGACTAACACACATGCAGACAGTTATATTTCTTCTTCTTCTGTGTTCATCCAAAAATGTAAATGCGTGTACTCATTTAAAATATGGCTGCAATATTTGCACTTTTTGGCCGACACATCTGACTTCTGCAGGCATTTGTTGTCTGGGTTAGCCTATCCAGAGATTATTACACAGACACTAACTGTATGATGATTCTGACATGATAATGCTACAATGTAGCTTGGTGATAGTTATGTTCATTCTTCTCCTTCTTTACATTTTCGTTTACCGCTTCGGGTGTCGAGGGAAATTATGCTTTTCTGGCTGCCTCTAACACAGACATATTATAGTGCTGTACAGCTTCTCTGATGTTATCCTTCCATCTTGTTCTTGGTCTACTTCTTGCTCTGTGTCCCTCTCCTCCTTCAGGATATGCCTTTTATGGTAAAGCATCAAAAAACATTGACAGTTATGTCCATTAGGATTATTATGTTTTGTAGTTTGTCAGGCCATGCTCCACAGAGCCAGCCAGCTAGCAAATTCCCTTCCCATGAATGAAGGGCCACATGTTACTGTCAGAAGCAATGGATTCATCAATGTTCGCATAAGCATAGAGTGGAGTATGTTAGAGTTAGGCTTAGGGAAGGGCTATTCAACTGGCAAGCCACAGACGTATGGCAGCCTGCAGAGGGCTATTAAGTGGCCCACAGATGACTGCCAACTGTAATGTATGAGTGATCTTTCTATGTCCAGTCTGGGACTTTTGGCATGTGAGGATTTTCATTTTCAACATTGTGGCCCCTGGATAGAACCGATTTAGGGGGCATATTTATTGAATGGTGAATTACAAATCATTACTGCACACGGGAAACTCCCATAAACGATCTGTCCCCATCTTCAGCAGCAAATGAAGAGTTTCAATTCCGATGATATCAGTAACTGTCTGATTGTATAGCCATCGAGCCTTTTTATTGAGTGCCGAGCGTCTGCCAGATCCCCTGGTAACTCCCCACAGCGCCATTCTCCTCAGACCATAATGATCTATCTGCGCTTCCATTGTTCACTTACTCACAAAGGGTCCTTACAATATCTAGCTTGTCATAAATCAGTTCACCACCAAGTGGTGCAGAACCGACCAGTCTTTCTGTCTGCTAATTTCCCAACATACTGCTGCAGTAAAAATGTTGTGGTGGTCACTGATAAGTTTATATTTTGTTCACAGGCACAATATGCTCTAACTGACAGAATGGGTTAGAAACCTGCCCAGTGTGTTTACAGCACTCAAGGAGAGCAATTGCAACCTACTGTGAGCATATCTGCAAAGCAAATCCTGTCTGAAGGCAAATTTATATAATTTTAACAATTTTAAGAGCAGTTCTGAAACAGCATCATCCCTGAGTTGAGATAGTTGAGGGCTGACATCACAGCACTCAGGACATTCGTATACACAATCCGTCTTCACCTTAAACACCCAGATAAAAGTTCCAGTTCTGAAGGTACCGGTAGCAGTTTGGATTATATGTCCTTCTTGCCAATCCTGTGAGTGTAGAGGGTCGGCCAGATCCCCTGCATCATTGCTGAATATGGGACCAAAGACTGTGGGCGGACATGAACTCCCCTGCCCCATGGCATGGACTAAAAGAAGAGCTGGTATAATAATTAGGAAAAACCTCTTGCCCTGTGTTGTTGAGAAAGGCTCTGGCCGAAACAGATTTTCTAGTGTGTGTACATTGCCCCCCCCCCCCCCCCACCTTCTGAGTCACAGTTCAGTGGACTTGTTTCTTGACCGCAGTCATCCCCCCCCCCCCCCCCCCCGTTTTCATCACAAGTGAAATCATGAAGATGACTGGGTATATGGTGTTTCCCATAGTTTTACACCTCTCACACACTCAACAGATGATGTGGTCAATATCACCTGGATTACCTAGACCTCTCACACACTCAACAGATGATGTGGTCAATATCACCTGGATTACCTAGACCTCTCGGACAACTTGGCATCCACTGAACTTATTGGGTCCCAAAGGTTTAGCATCAGACACCCATGAGTGGTCAAGAGAAACATATAATTAACCCATCTTGTCTTCACTGGGCTTCTAGGTAGGAACCTATAAACCCACAATGCGTTCCAATAGACTGAAAGAGTTAAGGTTGGGTTAATTTGGAAACCTATGTAATATAATTTTTGTAAACCTCATAAAGAGTTTCTGAATATATGACCATCAGGCAAGCAGATGAGTATGCCAGCAACTGCACCACACCAGCTCACCTAATACAAGCTGAACTAAAACAAAGTTTGCTTTTTTGTCAAATTACTAAATCTGTTGTAATGCATCTGATGAGACACTGTGGAACATGCCAGGCAATCAACTGTGCAATCTATTGTATTGTTTGTGTCCACATTATTTAAATTTTGAATTAGTGATTAGTGAACAGGTCCATAGATACTCTCAACTCTCCCTCAAAAACTCCACAAGTGTAAAATGACTGATGAACCCTGTTCTTTGTTGAGTTATAGTAAAGTAAAAGGTCACTTTTCCACGCCTTAAAGTGTATAGGGCAAATAGGGCTATACCTATATTTTTATAGACCAATCGGCACAAGATGGGTGATGTGGTCAGCATCACACCGGCTACCTTTACTTCCCGGGACTGTAACCGTAACCATGCAAGGCTGGGTCGACCTGGGAGTGAAGGTCATTTTTGAAAAAAGTAACGGCTCCTTGAGGGAGGCAACCCACGGCCTTCCATTCCACACATGCCACAGCGACTCCCTGAGTTGAGTTATGTATCCTCCAGTTCCAACTGAAATCATAAAAAACAAAGGTAGACAAAAACAGAGTTAGAGAAAAACAGAAAATTGTTTTACCTCTGTAAGTTTACTCCGCAAAAGAAAGGCCTGTACCACTGGAACAAAGAAGTCGTTGCCAGGATGGTCTAACCTAAAAGCTGTCACTGCAGCATTAAAATAAGCCATATGTCTGCCAGTTGTAGCATAAAAAACCTGAATCTGCAAATCTGCAGTCAAAAATTCATTTTCTCGCCCACGAAGATAGTTATCCGATGAATTCACCCATCTCTGAAATTCCACGAGAATTGTGAATGACAGTGTAACTGTTTTGGCCTGTTCATAATCGGAAGCATGGGTCACTAAGTAAAAAGCAATTTCCCAAGGGTTTGGGCCATTGATGAGAAACATGACCAGCTTTCTGTAAACAGCATCTCCTTTGGCTTTCTTCCCAATGATGTGATCATCCAGCCAAACGTACTGGAGCTCCTCAAGAAAACCTTCCAGTACATCATTGGGCAAGATCTGTGGTTGTTTAGGGGTGCCTTTTCTGACACCTTTTGCCCATTTGTTTGCCATATGAGTGTCATCACAGCTTCTGGAAGTCCTGACATTACTTAGATCTGAATGCTGATGTGTACCTGGACTTCTTGGAGAATGTGAAGTTCCGTGGAAACGAGGAGCACCTTGTACAAAACCTTTTGATGCAGACGGTACTTTATGCCTAAAGGGTTCATTATGTGGATGTCTTTGTGCCATGCTTCAGTTGTATTTCACCCCGAGTTTTGTGTCTAGACCAAAAACAAAACAATTAAATATAATTATTACAGTGATGTTCTGTAACTGTTTTATCAAGTTATGAGTACTGCCAACTGTGGCATACAAGTCAAAAATCTGTTCTTCTTCTTTGTTCACCAGTGTAAGCTCCGGGTAGAGAGTCCTGGTAGTTCCTCTATTTATAAGTTAAGGTCTATGGTGAAGTTGCTACTGCCATTATAAGTCAAGGTCTATGGTGAAGTTGCTACTGCCATTATAAGTTATGGTCTATGGTGAAGTTGCTAATTGCCATTATAAGTTATGGTCAATGGTGAAGTTGCTACTGCCATTATAAGTCAAGGTCTATGGTGAAGTTGCTACTGCCATTATAAGTCAAGGTCTATGGTGAAGTTGCTACTGCCATTATAAGTCAAGGTCTATGGTGAAGTTGCTACTGCCATTATAAGTCAAGGTCTATGGTGAAGTTGCTACTGCCATTATAAGTTAAGGTCTATGGTGAAGTTGCTACTGCCATTATAAGTTAAGGTCTATGGTGAAGTTGCTACTGTCATTATAAGTCAAGGTCTATGGTGAAGTTGCTACTGCCATTATAAGTTATGGTCTATGGTGAAGTTGCTACTGCCATTATAAGTTATGGTCTATGGTAAAGTTGCTACTGCCATTATAAGTCAAGGTCTATGGTGAAGTTGCTACTGCCATTATAAGTTATGGTCTATGGTGAAGTTGCTAATTGCCATTATAAGTTATGGTCTATGGTGAAGTTGCTACTGCCATTATAAGTTATGGTCTATGGTGAAGTTGCTACTGCCATTATAAGTTATGGTCTATGGTGAAGTTGCTACTGCCATTATGAGTTAAGGTCTATAGTTTTAAAGTTAATTATGGTAAGCTTTTTTCCAGAGATCGCAACTTGCTACTGATAACTTGTGACTCAACCTTGTGATTTTGTCCAGCAACCTGCCACCTGCCTTGCAACTTGTAGCTCCGACAACTTGGTACGACTTATTCTCTGTGGCTGGCAACTGTGAGGTTTGGTTATCAACATCACATTTTAAATCATCTTCACATTTTACATGAAAGAATAAATTATTTTTCAATTTATGAATCTTTCTTATTCAAATTCTTCTGCTTTTGTATATAGTTAGTCAGTTTTTTACACTGCCATCTCTGACTTTGTGTTTTCCCCATTTTTGACTGATCCATTAGCATTGTCCTATGTACAACTTGCAAGTAACTTCAATCATGAAATGACTTGACTCATGACTTGACAGTGTTCTTGGTGACCTGACTGTGGACTTAGTGGTAATGACTTGCGACTTTACTTGGACTTGAAGGGTGGCGACTTAGCCCTACCTCTGGCTGTTTCAGTATAACTCAACATATGTTTATTGGTTACCACACATGATACACATTTCATATCTTTTTGCATCCCACTCTTCTGTTGTGATTATTTTTAACTGCATGCAAACCGTTACTCACTCCGAACCAATTATTTCAGCTTAAGACATGGATTGATCCACACAGATAGAACACAAAGTACAGTCTTTGTGAAACTGATCTATCAGTTAATCAGCATTTCCTTCATGGGCGACATGCCTGTTGGCTGGAACAAATGAAGATCGATAAAGAAAAAAAGAAGCAATGATAATTTCAGTTTTTTAGTCTTTAGATTAATGCTAGGAATAAAGCCAGTGCTATCCTCCGAATAACAGCCACATATTATGGCCGCCAAAAGCAGGGCCTCAGTAACAGGTAAACCGCGCACTTCTGGCGACTACGACCACCGCCCAGAGTATCTCCAACACCGCTATGCGCGGTGTGGATTGGAGCTAAACTAGATGGCTGGGACTCAGGAGCAAAGCTGCAGGAGATGCAGAAGCTGCTGCTTGTGAGTCCATGCCATCTAGTTTAGCCCTAATCCACGCTGTGCGGTGTAGCGGTGTTGGAGATACTCTCGGCGGTGGTGGTAGTTGCCTGAAGTGCACAAATTAAGTTGCCAGACGTTCACAATTTATATGTGACTGAGGCCCTGTTAGGGTGTTTTTGTGGCTGTTATTCAGAGGATAGCCAAGCCAGTCTTATGTGTCATCAAAGAACAACAAATGAAGTGGTTTGGAACCTAACAAGGAGCAACACTAAAACGTTACAACGGGCATAGAGCGGGTGGAAGACCTCGGAAAATATGGAGTGATGGAACAGCCTTACAGAAATGAACATCAGTCTTAATACTGCTCTTGACAAAGCTCATCAACGAATTTTACATCTCCCCCAACACTTCGTCTTCGCTGAGGTACAAAGTGGAAGACAAGAAGAAGTCGGTACTCCTGTCAAATCCGGACGAAGAATAAAAAGCCTTGGACGACTTAGTCAGAGTTCTCTCCCTTGGCTGCACTCCAAACAGTGATCGGAAAAGCCAGCAACATGGCAGTTAGACGCACTCACATAACTAACATCGTTCTTCCGACGCACGACTTAGTTGCCGGGAACAACTATCGTGAATGACGCTTGGCGAGGCTACAGCAACGTGGCAAACTTACGGCATGGCATCTATCTGCACGAGGTAGTAGTCCACCAGACCAACTTCGTCGACGCCGTACACAGTCACATACACACACAAACAATTGAGGGCCTCTGGATGCTGGTCAAACGCACAATTCGCCAACGATTGGGCACCAGCCGCACACTATTGGCGTCATATTTAACAGAATTTCAGTGGCGCCACGCCCACAAACATCAGATTGTCGGCCAGTATTTCGAAACCCTACGTCAAAATTTTCACATCTAACCCTAACCCTAACTCTAACCCAACAACCGCATGATGACTACACAACCATTCACGATGCCTCACGCAACCGTACGCAACCCTGCACGCAACCATATGATGACCACGCATCCTTTCACGATGCCTCACGCAACCGTACGCAGCCCTACACGCAACCGTATGATGATAGGTAAGTGTGTCGTTTCTTTCGTTGGCTTTTCCGATCACTGTTCGCAGTGCGGCCAAGGGAGAGAACTCTGACTAAGTCGTCCAAGGCTTTTTATTCTTCGTCCGGATTTGACAGGAGAGCCGAAGAAGTCTTTTGATTGCGACATTTTATCATTTATGTTCAGGATCAATTCAAAGTAGTTTTCGAACAAGCCGTCACAAGCCGAGACCATACCAGGAAACACCATTAGCCTGTTAAAGAAGTTTAAGCCAACAATCATTTCACCTGATTTATAAAGTTTATAAACACATGACATAACAGGTTGTGTAGACACCACGCAAGGAATCTACAACATCGTCACAGCGACTATGAAAAGTTTGTGTTGTAACTGCTGATTTCAGTTTTTTGACACATCCAGAAAGATCTCTTCTGTTAACAAAATTTAGAAAAAGTCCTCTACTAGAGCTCTTTCGTTTATATTATTTAAAAACAGTCTGATAATCGAGCTCTTGTCCGGAGAAGTTTAGAAAAACCAAAGTCAGTGTTGACGTCTGATGTAGTGTCAGCATTCGCAATGGTCCGTAAATATAAAATTTACTTTACACTTATTGTTTCCAACTTTATCTCTTGTTTTCCACAAAGTGAAAAATAGGAAGAACTGCAAGAGCTATGAATTTAATTATAATATTGTCATTTGGCAAAGGAAATATGATTTTAAAGCAGATTGTCGAGAATACTAAACTAACTAAACTTAAACAAGTCTGAGTCTCACTGAATACCCAAGTCCAACTGTTACTGTTAGTCATGCAAAAATTAAATTAAGGAATCAAGGCAGAAAAAACGTTAGTTGTGTCGAATGTGTTTAGACTAGAAAACATTGTCTGAAAACAAGGTACTTGCTTCGTCTTGCAGCAGGACGTTGTAGAACTAACTCCAGAATATTTAAGATGTTTGTGATTTTACTAAGCAATTTCTTCAGTACAGCCTGTACTACAGGTGTTTGGAACGCAGAAACTCATCGAGTTGAGATAGATAATGAAATCTAGTTACTTTAGTCAAATTTTTAAAATGCCCTCAACACTAATAAAACCAGCACAGTTGGATAGCTGTAAACAATCTCTTTCCAATGGTCCCTCATTTAGGCTTGTATGTCATTTCTGAGCTGAGATATGTAGGTTTTTGTGGAGATGAGATGTAAAAAACAGCTGCTAAAACTTGTGTCTGAATAACAAGAAGTTTTCTCTGCGCAACCAAACTGCGCAACTTTCGTTTTGGCTTTGTTTTCATTGGACAAGATGGCAGACAATTTTTCTTAGACACAGCCACATAATAGCGATTGCCTGAAAAATGTCACTGTAAATCTAAACAGCCACTGACAAGAAAGAAATTTTATACACAAATGTAAAATTGGACAGAGAATTTAATTATAACTAGCATTACCATGTCTGGTAATCTCTCTCTTCTGCCTTTCTATCCCCCAATGGAGCATAGGCCCTCAACCAACTCACGCCAAGTCGTTCTATCCTTCGCCATTACATGGAGCTCTCCCCATGTCCTCCCAATCTTTCTAACCTTGTTCTCCAGCTCTCTTCTCCATGTGTTTTTTGGCCTTCCTTTATTCCTATGCCCCTGTGGGTTCCAATGCAAAGACATTCTAGTTATGCTGTTTTCTCAGTGTACGCCCTATCCAACGCCAGCGTCTTTTCCTCACTTCCTGATCCACTGGAGCCTGTTTAGTTCTCTCCCAAAGTTCTACATTAGTTATTCTATCATACCATTTTATTCCCTCTATTCTGCGCAGGCACCAGTTAATGAATGTCTGTAATTTATTAGTAATTGCCTTGGTTGTTCTCCATGTTTCCGCCCCATACAATAGTACTGATTTGACATTAGAATTAAAAAATTTTAGTTTAGTATTTCTTTTAATTTCTTTTGACCTCCACAAATTCCCTAGTGCTATGAAAGCCCCTCTTGCCTTTTGTATTCTTATTTTAATATCTCTATCAGTTCCTCCATCTTTATCTACATTACTGCCTAAATAGGTGTACGACTCCACGTCTTGGAGTGGGGTGCCATTAAGAGAAACCACATTACTATTTGCCTGATTTATTCTCATTATCTTTGTCTTTCCTTTATGGATTTTCAGACCAAGCTGCTGTGATCTCGCATTAAGTATATTTAATTTATCTTGCATCTGATATTGTGAATGGGACAGAAGAGAATTATCATCAGCGAAGTCCAGATCATCAAGCTGTTTTGTAGAGGTCCACTGAATTCCATTCTTGGTGTTAGCAGTTACTATTTTCATAGTCCAGTCTATAGCCAGTAAAAATAAGAGAGGTGACAAAAGACATCCCTGTCGCACACCTGTTTTTATTTCAAATGCATCTGTTAGCTTTCCCTCATGAAGAACTTGACATTTCATGTCTTTATATGTTGCCTTTACCAAGTTGATAATTTTCTGTGGGATTCCATAGTGCCCCATCAATTTCCAGAGAGATTCCCTATCAATGCTGTCAAATGTTTTTTCATAGTCTATAAATCTAATGTAAAGTGGTGAGTTCAGTTCAATGCTTTGCTCTATTATAATACGTAATGTGGCTATCGGATCAGTACAGGATCTGTTTGACCGAAAACCTGCCTGCTCATCTCTTAGCATTTTATCAATAGCATCTTTTAATCTTTCCAAAATAATTCTACTTAATATTTTTCCAGGAACTGACAGCAACATAATTCCTCTATAGTTTTCACACTCCTGTAGATCACCTTTTTTGGGCAGTTTCACAAGATATCCTTCTCTCCAGTCTGCTGGTATTTCTTCGGTCTCCCAGACTTTACTGAATAATCTATGTAGCAATTCTGTTGAGTGTTTATGTTGGTCCTGGTGGCTTCAGCTGGGATACCGTCTGGGCCTGTCGCCTTTCCTTCCTTGAGAAGATTTATAGCTTTCCTAATTTCATCTTTGGATGGTATCTCACAGTTGATATCCAGTTCCATTTCTAAAGGCTGGATATCTGGGGGAACCTCTGGGCCTGGTCTATTTAGAAGCATTTCAAAATATTCAAACCATCTGTCCATTTGATCTTTAGTGTTAGTAAGTACCTTTCCTTGACTATTTTTGATTGATCCAGTTGGCTGACTATATTTACCTACTAATTTTCTTGTGTTACTGTAAAGTTCTCTGAGGTTTCCTTTTGCTGCCGCTGTCTCTGCTTCTTGTGCTAGATCATTTAGATATTTCACTTTATCTGCCCTTTTTTGCCTCCTAACTTCCTTGTTAGCTTCTGTGTATTTCTCCTGAGCTCTAGCTTTAGCAGCTCTAGTTTTGCTATTGTTTAATTCTGCCTTTTTACTTTTCCTATCTTCAATCAGTTTAATGGTTTCTGGTGTTATCCATGCTTTATGTTTCCTTTCTTTCTTGCCAAGAACTTCTACGCAAGATTCATTCCAGATTCCTTTGATCTGATCCCAGCAGACTTCTGTGTTGACATCTTCAGCTAACTTCTGCAACATCTGGTACTTATTAGAGACCGTAACTGAGAACTGTTCCTTAATTTCTTTTTCTCTGAGAAAGCCTACATTATATTGGTTTCTATGATTATAAGATGTTATATATCTTTTTAGTTTCAACTTGATTTTACTTACCACCAGGAAATGGTCAGTAAATACATCGGCACCTCTGAAAGCCCTAACATCGTAAAGGGATGATCTAAACTTTTTGTTAATACATATGTGGTCAGTTTTTTCAATCAAACTGATGTAACAGAAAAACAGAGGACGTCCGGCTGTCGTAGACATGCGCTGTTAATTGGGTTCGTTTCCGCCGTTTTCAGCTATTTATAGCTGGTGAAAATCACACCAATTGCAAAATTTCATGAGAGATTATGACCCATCCCGAAACCCCAGCCGACATTTCCCAAACAAATTTCAAACGGTTTCCATGATAACGGAAATTGCCAAAAAGACCTCAAATTGCCGAAACTGTAGTCGCTATGAAATCAGTTAGTGGGGTAGTAGTTAACCTACAGTTAATAATATTAATAATAATAAGAGCAGCTATCATCATCACCATCATGAGCCTTGTTGATAGGCGTCGCCTGTCATGCTTCGCCATCTTACACGATCACCAGAATGAGAATCCTAGATCAGTTCATTTTTGGGTCTCCTTGCAATAATAGTTGCTAGTTGGACGGCGACGGCCGCTTAGTCGAAGTTCATTCTCCTGGCTGCAGTGCAATTTCGGAGTGGAAAAGAGGGAACGACTCAAATGACATAATTAGGGGTAGGGTTAGGCTATTGTGAGTCGCAGCGCGTGGTCTAGACGCCATGGTTGAACTCACTGTGTTTTATGATTCGTGCCTTGTCCACTCCATAATTGCACTGCAGCCAGGGGACTGAACTCCGACTAAGCGGCCGTCACTGTCCAAGTAGCGACCGTTATTGCAAGGAGAACCCTTTTTTTTTTCTCTTGCCAAATCTAGTTGGCCAGACCATCCAGGTATTCATCTCTTTGCTTTCCTCTTGCTCTCTTTCCATCGATCTGGCCAGCTGTTACCAAATTATCCAGTCTATTCTTTCTATTTTTATGTCCCAAAAAAATCTTCTTCTTCGCATTCACTAGCTGTAAACTGATCTATCAGTTCTGGTTGTTCATCCACTTCTGGACTGCAGTCCAGTTCAAGAACCTGAGTGTTGCATGTTCATCCATTTTACAGATCTGACTCATTTGTGTGCAGAATGCTGGTACCTTGCCTCTCTTGGTCTTCCCTGTTTTCTTTCCCCTTCCGGTGTCCAAATGATGGCTTGGTGAAGGAGTCTTGTCTTATCTATTCTGAGTTCAGTATAGGTCGTTAGTTAGTCTGGCAGTCAAAGCTAATAGAATTCTACTAAATTACAGGCACCAGGACTTGACCAAGCTGCAGGATGGGGTCTAGTCTCACTTGCAGGATTCCTGTTCACATATTATTCCATATGGGTAATTGTGCTAGTAAGTGAATTGCTCATCTTTAATATCTTTATCTTACTTCTATTTTGTAATGATGGATGGATGTGTGTTTGGATGCTTAATTAAATAGAAGCAATTGCCTTCTATGCCATGGTGGTCTGGAGATGGAGAATAGTTTCCAGAAAATGAAGCAGAGGCCAGCCTCCGATAGGTTGGATACAAGACATTAAAGTTGCATTGGCTGTGAAAGCACACTGGGCTGGAGAATTGGTAGAGAAAGAGAGACTTTGAGGTGTGCTGTGAAGAGAGCAATGTTTTGTAAAGGACATGCTGATTGATTCCTTCTTCTTCTTTTGTCGTCGCACTGTTACCAGGTTGTAACCCAGTGTCATGGTTTTATGTATTTGTCTTTTGCTTCTTGGATGGCTTGAGTGATGGATTTGTTCAACTTATTGCAGGTTTCATCTACACCATTTATCCATATTTTTCTTTGACTCCCTCTCGCATTGCTCCCAGATGTTCTACTGTAAAACGTCTCATATACAGTCTGGCTTGGCTACATTCTCACTATATGGCAGAACCATTTCATTTGTTCTATCTCTTTGTCCTTTAATGCTGCCAGTCCGATGCCCGCAAGAGTGTGTCCTAAAATCAATGTTTCTTGAATAGTAGCAGTCAAATACACCACTGCCGGCTGCTGATTAATTGATTGATATTTCTAAGAATATAACATGATTCGTAGTGTTTGAAAGATGAATGTTTGGAACAGCTGAATGTAAGACAGGCCTGCATGTCCAATTTGTGACCCTGAGAATAAACTTTGTTCATTTGTTTATTTTTTTATAGTGTTCAAGCTTCTTTCTGATTTCCTTAGAAAGGAAATACGCAAGAGGAAGACAGAACTAAATGTCCTATTCACCTTTTGTATCGGTACTCTACCTTCCTTCTTTGTAGTGTGCAAGCTTGTTGCTAAGTTATGTTATTGAAGAGAAGAATAGAGGGAAAGTGTGAAAGAGGAAGGCAGTGCTGGGTGACGTATTCACCTTTTTATATCTTTTTCTGTGTTTGCCCACAAAGGGCAGTTGGGCATATTGCCTTGTTGTTTACAGATAAGCTGCAGTATTCATTCCTTTTGACCCAACATCTTAGTTGGTTGCGTTTATAACATTTTACAACAGAGGAGCGTCTGGCTGAATGCTTCAGAACACCAGACTCTCATATGGAAGACCAGGGGTCAAATCCTCAGTAGGGCTGGCAATTTTGTTTCTATCGGAGGCACAAATAAAATCCAAACCTGCATAGTCTGTGGCAGCCGCACTAGCCAAGAGGCTGTAACTCTTGCAGCTCAAAGATCCCCCCCAGGCATATCTGAGAAGCAAGAAACCAGCAGCCTGCTCACAAGAAGCCAGATCTGTAAAATAGATGTACACACTGCTAGGTCCAGGAAAAGCCAATGTCCAGACACACTTAAACAACTAGAACTTTCCACTGGAGTTCAGTCGGTGAAGAAGAAAAAGTATTTGTAACTGAATTTTTGTTGTGTATAGTTTACAAACTTCTAGCTAAGCTCTGTGTTTGAGAGAAGGATACAAAAAAAGTATGTCATAGGAAAAAAGGTTTTAATGGCATATTTCCCTTAAATAGCCAAACCTCTTTATTCGGTGGGTTCCAATTGTGGGGAAAGCAAGAACATATCCATTGCCTTCCCAACATGCATGTCGTAAGAGCTGACTCACTGGCGAGCTTCCTTCAAAGTCAGAGTTCATCTGCCTGAGAGGCAAGGAACTAATAATTTACATAGAAATAAGTCAGTTCCTAATTAACCCTAACTCTACCCCCCATCCATAACACCCCTAGAATATTGGACTTTCCTGGGAGCTCCAGCATTTCCTTTGTTTGGGGCGAATTAACTCTTTCAGTCCCATGGAGTTATTAACCTGACAGTGACCATCACATAGCATATGTACTTTAGGGTTGCAACCTTTATATCCCAATTACTTAAAATAATGCAACAGTTGAACTAGCTATGTGAAAGTGACCATTGAAATAGAGAAGATGTACCTGACAGAAGAATAGGGCAGATGAAATTAAGACACCCAGGTCTGATGCTGAGTACCTAATAAACACATGATGTAATTTCTGGTACTGAAGGAATTAATAAACTGCCGAGAAAAGTAACTAGAAAAAACTGACTGGGTAATAAAGCAGTGAAAACATTGACCACATCATCAACTCACTACAGAATTCTGGCAAGAAATCAGTCTAGCACCATATATTCAGTACTTCGTGTGTTTTAGAAGGTTCCTTTATGTTAAAAAATTGTTCTTACAGCCGTTTGTGGAACCTGATCAAGTAATTCATCATTTCTTTCTACCACGGATTTATGCCATTGCTGGACCACTTCTTGCTGGAGTTACTGCACTTGCTTTGATTAGTAAGTCATGTTGTTAATTTTTATGCTGAAAATTGTGATGTTGGGAGTGCTCCATGAACTTTGATGTTGATTCTTAAACATCATCATTATCATTGGCTTCAGCATTCTGAGCCCTTGAGGTTCACTGCTGCAGATATCAGCCTCCTCCATTTGTCTCTGTTAATGGCCCTCCCTTTTCACTTGATGAAAGATGTCACCTACCTCAATTTATCCCTGTTAATGGTCCTCCCTTTTCACTTGGTGAAAGATATCACCTACCTCCATTTATCCCTGTTAATGGTCCTCCCTTTTCACTTGGTGAAAGATGTCACCTACCTCCATTTATCCCTGTTAATGGTCCTCCCTTTTCACTTGATGGAAGATATCACCTACCTCGATTTATCCCTGTTAATGGTCCTCCCTTTTCACTTGATGAAAGATATCACCTACCTCCATTTATCCCTGTTAATGGTCCTCCCTTTTCACTTGGTGAAAGATATCACCTACCTCCATTTATCCCTGTTAATGGTCCTCCCTTTTCACTTGATGAAAGATATCACCTACCTCCATTTATCTCTGTTAATGGTCCTCTCTTTCCACTTGGTGAAAGATATCACCTACCTCCATTTATCTCTGCGATTGGCCCGGCTACCTAGCGCAGTCGGTTAAACCTGACTGCGCGGAGACCGGGTGACAAACTCCTTGTTGGTACGGGTTCATGCCCGGTGGTAAGCTGAAATGCCAGATTTTTCCCAAATTTACTGTATCTGTCATGGAATTAAGGCCGAATAGTTCTGAGCCAAAGGGTTTACAACTCATGGTTTCTGGATATTAAAAAAAAATCTTTGTGATTGGTCCTCTCTTTTCACTTGATGACTGCAAGTGTTTGTAGGTCAGCCTGTGTATTATCTCTCCACCTTCCTAATTTACCTTACAGTCTATGGCAGGGCTATTCAGCTGGTGGCCTTACAGCCAGATCTGGCCTGCGGAGGCCTAATAAGTGGCCCGCTGATCATTGCCAGTTGTATTGAATTAATGACCTTTCTTTGCTGTGGTTTAGTCATCTGGCCAGTGATTTCCTGTTTTCCACATTTTGGCATGTGGGTAGACTTAGCTGATTAGCCCTGATTTGCAGTCATTCAGCTCCTTCGTGTACACATTTTTTCCCTGTCCGTTATCTGGCTTTTCAGTCTATTAGCCCTCATAATGCTTGTGATCATTGGTGCTTTAAACAGATTATGATTTTCACTTTGTATCTCTCTCTCCATTCCTCGCTGTTTACACATTTGAATGGGCCAAAGGTTTATAATAAGACTTTCTTAGACGGATGTGAAAGTCAGACTCTCACTGTTAAATGGAAAGGAGAATTCAGGCTTTCAAATACTATATACATTTTACAAATTAGATTTTTAAAACATAAAAATAACAAATATGTGAGGGGAAAAAATACACAAATTTACAGGAGATCAGGAGCCTCTCTGGCAGTGGTGAAAGGTCGCAAGCTAGCTTGGTTTTGGCACGTGGTGAGACATGATTCTGTTACAAAGACTGTACTTCAAGGAACATTAGGGGAAGTGGGTAGTTGAAGAATAGGAGGGCGAAGAAGAAACTGGAATGCCAACATCAAGAAATGGACAGGAATAATGAGTCAAGGATTATTTTATGTTTATTAGACCAGCTCTTTTAGTTGTGTTCTAGGTTTCAGAGCCTTATAAGACAACTGGTTGGTTCTTAACATAGTGTTTTAAATCTTTCTGTGGATGTGTATTTCATTATTTATATTTGTCCTTCTGTGTGTATGTTCTTGTTATTGCCTTTAATACATTTGTCCATCCATGAGTACGCTCCTTTCATTGCCTTTAATACATTTGTCCATCCATGAGTACGCTCCTTTCATTGCCTTAAATATATTTGATATTCAATGTGTATGTTCTTTGCATTGTTTAAAATATTTGTCCTTTCATGTCTTTGTTCTTCTCAGATCTTTATATATATATATATATATATATATATATATATATATATATATATATATATATATATATATATATATATATATATATATATATATATATATATATATATATATATATATATATATATATATATATATATATATATATATATATATATATATATATATATATATATCCATGTGTATGTTCTCTTCATCGCCTTTAATATATTTGTCCTTCCATGTGTTTGTTCTCTTTATTGACTTTAATATATTTGTCCTTCCATGTGTTTGTTCTCTTTATCGCCTTTAATATATTTGTCCTTCCATGTGTTTGTTCTCTTTATCGCCTTTAATATATTTGTCCTTCCATGTGTTTGTTCTCTTTATCGCCTTTAATATATTTGTCCTTCCATGTGTTTGTTCTCTTTATCGCCTTTTATATATTTGTCCTTCCATGTGTTTGTTCTTTTCATCGTTTTTATTTTTTTATCTCTTTCTACGTATGTATGTTCTTTTCATTACCTTTAATATATTTGTCCATCCAGGCGTGTTTGTTCTTTACGTCACATTTACACCCAAAAAGAGCAAGCAGAGTTGAGCAAAGCAAAGGTTTATTAAACATCTTCAGTTTGTAACTTTTTCTTTTTTTGAATGTTAATCTGAACTTGAATGAAAATAAATATGTTTACAATAAACATTTATACTACACTGTTATGTTGTATGTGTTATATAATATACAAAAGACATGAATTGATTGATACTCATGTGAAGAAGTAGCAGCTGTCATGGGTTAGTGGCTAGATGCTTACCTGCAAGCGCAAGGTCATGGGTTCAAATCCATATCGATTGGGAATTTTTGCAAACAAATTACCTAAGCTTCCATGTCAGCCCAGACCAAAATGGATACTAGGCTACTTGCTGGCAAGTAAAGGCTTCAGGCGTATCGAGCAGATCACCCATGGAGTGCTGACTGGTCAATAAAGTAAAGGCTTGGCACTGTAAACCCACCACGTCTAGGGGATGGAAAAAGGTCCTTTACTTTACTTTTACACTGAAATAGAAAGGTAGGAGGACACACTAGTTAAATGGTAGTTGCCTTTCCTATACAGAACATCATAGAACCAACCCCAGCATTTTCTGGGAGCTGTTAACTTTTTACAAGGCAACTTTATGTTCAGTAGTTGTTCCATATTTTGTGTTGTCTCCCATTGCTCTGTGTTCATGATATTTCTTCAGTGGGACCGTTTGTGGCAGATGATACCAAGGCATTTACGTGAGATGATGAAACTGTCTAATCTGTTGTTCTTTAATAAACCGTATGACTCGTTTTAATCCAAGTCTTCTAAGTTTTATCCATAATTTTTTAAATCTGTAATTATTCCTGCAGCTCGTCTAAGACATCTCAATTCCGTGCTATGATTTTGTCCATTTATGTGTTAAAAAATAGTTACAGTGCAGACTTGAAAAGAGGAATCTACCCAAGAAATAGTTCTTCTTATCAAAAATTCTTCTTATCCAGAGAAGAGTTAAGCAAGAAAAATTGATAAACAAACTGCTCTTCACAGTAGAAATTTGCCACAAACGAGGTAGCCTTAAACAGTCTGTACTCTGTTAGATTTACCTTACTCTGTTAGATTTACCTTACTATTAACATTTTGGCTCTACTTCGAACGACACCATAAAATGGCGGCCATAATTTGATGCCACATTCTGGCCATAAAATATCCAAAAACATCAGAACGGTGTTCAGGCATATCTAAAATACGGACTTTCTGCCAAGGGACAAATCGCGGCAAAACTAGGATTACTTAACAATCAATATCAACATTGCACGCCGTAGTAGCAGACGATAAATACCGACCGTTGACAATTTTGAGTGTTTCTGCAGACGACGATACTAGCAGACGATATTGGCGACCGTTGACCAATTTCGAGACATTACAGACGATGAAAGCCGATTAGCAATACTGTGTTCTTCCGATTAGAGGATTTAGCAGCGGTAGATGTCAGACTTGTCGGCATGCGCAACACGCGATTAAAATCATCGTCGAGGGTATCCCAGGCGCCGCTACGCGCGGCGCGGATAGGGGGCTAAACTAGATGCCTGGGACTCACGAGCAAAGTAATTGGAGGAAGTTGCAGGAGATGCGGTAGCTGCTGCTCGTGAGTCCCAGCCATCAAGTTTAGTCCCCATCCGCGCCACGCGTAGCGGCGCGGGGGATACCGTCGGCGGTGAGGCACACTCGCAGAAGCAGGTCCGCAAGTATTAAATCGCTGAGACCCTGATAGAGCATTGTTTCTTTATACGGAGCAGGCATATTTTTAATAGAACTGAGCCCCATTCGGATATTTTATGGCCAGAATGTGGCCAATTTGGTTCTCTTTCGAACGGTATCATATTATGGCCGCCATTTTATGGTTCGAAGTAGAGCCAAAATTTTTTGCTTACACATATATTGAGACTACAGCCATGGATATTATCAAAACAGTAAACATTGTGGATATCTTGGTAGATGCGTCTGTTGGACTGCCGTGGACGTTTGTTACAACTTCCGTTTTAGAGTAGTTGTGCATGTCTATGTTGCAGGAATGGAGCCAACCCAGGATTGTCTCGCCTCCCTGACGATCCAAAAGAAAACGTCTATAGAAAGTGGAGGCCTCTCCCCTGAGGCAAGGGTCGTCTCTGAGAGGCATCAGGCTGTCCCGACACTCTGGCCTGTGACATGAATACAAGATGTCTCATTAACATACTAAACAAATATTTGTAATGTGGTACAGGCAGAGAACTGCAGGGGCAAATGTTGCTCACAACAGACTTCAGAGTGTCTGAGATCAAACATCTAGAGCACTAAAACTAAACTCAGAACATACTAAACATGCGTTAGAGGTCTCTTCTATGGAGCAGAAACTTTGAAAACAGGCAGAACGATAGAGAGCATGCTCAGAAGGTTTTGAGGAAAGACTTCTCAGAAGATTAGAGTTGGGGTTCACATGAGAAGATAATATCAGCAATTCTAGATTACAACAAATGACAGACTTAGAAGATGTACATTTGGAAATAAAAGAAACGAAGATGGAGGTGGATTGAACATGTACTCAGAATGAAGAAAGAGAAGCCACCAAGACTTGCAGTGCAATGGACGCCACAAGGACAGCGAGGAAGAGGCAGGCACAGAGGCACTTAGAGGCTGAACTCACGGCTACCCGAAAGACAAAACTGGAGATAGAGAGGATGACTTAAGATCGAACTTAGTGGCAACAGTTTGTCTCTGCCTTATATGCCTCTGGGCGCGATAAGGATTGATTGATTTGTGGTACAGACATAGCAGTATAAGGTAATAGATGTAGCATTGTACAGACGTTCGTTGATTGTACTGTTGTGCCATTATATGTCACATAGAGCTTATAGTTTATTTTTTCATTCCGTTTGATCCTGTTCAAACGCTTTAATATTATGGAATGAATTCAGTCCAGCATTCCAGCTTCTCTCATCGACGTTCAGCACAGGGGCTTCTCTAGGTCGTCCTTGTTTTCCCAGTTCCTCTATTTCATTTCCCATTTAGCTTTTTTTTTTTAAATTTAATTTGTTATTTTAAAGCCCCAACCCATCTGTCGACTGGAGACCTAATATAGCATTACGGTTTAGCGGGATTTCCTAGACTTGTACCCGGGTGATTCTTATCCCAGCGGTGGCGCTCTGGGTCACTATATGTTTGTTCTTCTTTTTGTGATTCTGGTGGGGTTTAATGTCAGTCAATCAATGTTCGACTTCTTGACAACATGCTTAACACAAAGAAACCAGACCACAATTATGGCCAAAACTGCTGGCAGTAGGTTAAACAGGGTGGATTTATTTTGGTTTCTTCTTCTTCGCGTTCACCTGCTGTACACTCTGGTGGAAAGTTTTAGTTGTTCGTCCACTTCTGAACTGCAATCCTCCTCCAGAACCTGAGTGTTGCATGTGCATCAGTTGTACAGATCTAATTCACTTGAATGCAGACTGTTAGTTCCTTGCCTCTCAGGCAGATGCACTCCGACTTCAAAGGAAGCTCCCCAGCTAGTCGACTCTTACGATATGCTTTTGGGGAAGCAGTGGGTCTATTCTTGTTTTCCCCACAATAGTGCCCCAGAACCCACACGGAGGTTTGATTTCTTGAATGGATGAAGGATGCATGACAGTGTCTGTTACAGTGGCGATTCTCTGTTCATCGCTTCTCCGGTGTATCCAGTTTAGCGCCATCTTTTCTGTATTAAAACTGTATTTTAGACATACGTATAATGAAATGTATGCTCTTTAGTACGCATATACGACACTGCATCCAGGTTTTTTCCTTAGCAGTTTCATAAAGAGAAAATCTAATGTGGTATAAACATAATCCATTGCAATAGCTGTCTATAGTTTACTCATTTAAGAATTGACATCATAGCACACCGGACATACCCAAAAGTTCTGTTTCAAGCTGCATTTGCAGATACTAACTGTTCATGGCGAAGACTGATTACACACACGTTGTTTCTTTGCTTTCATACGCCTCACCTTGCTGGACCCTCTCCCAGTTCTTCATTCACATATTCTTGATTTTGTCATTTCCCCTAGCCTCGTGACATGACAACTTGATCCCACACTGATCTACCATCACAACAAAACAACAGCTCCTTTGCAATAATGTTTCTTTTTTATTCATTATAAAATCATAGCACCAATAGTAGGGACCTCTAAAACCCATCATGTAACTAGTTGATATAACTTGACCTCTGATTAATCCACCGACACCTAACACTACGACATGACATCCGCTCATTTGCCATAATTTTCATTTTTTTTCTATATAAAGTCATGGCACCATATGCCTTGGGAACACTAACAAATGTAACAAACTGACCTCTTACCGAGCCACTGGTACTTAACAATGACACAGCAGCCGCCATAATTGTTAATTGATATATATATAAATTCATAGCCAAAGAGACCTTGATGACCCCTACCCTTTACAGCATGCTTTTAGATGACCACCTCTCGCTGCCCAGATGTATACTACCATAACCACAGCTCATTAGCTAAAAACTGACACCACAAAAGACCCTGGAGAGATATGATCGCCCTCGTCCGTTGGCATGGCACTTGATGGTGCTGTTATTTCCCCACAGATCACCCACCCCCTCTTCCCGAGTCCCAGCTGACACCCGCCTCTATATTTAGTTTACATATTTGACTAAATAACATGTATACTTTCTATCCCCCTCAACGAAGCCAATCACTTTCCCTATCTTATGGCTTTAAGACCTATCTTTTATAGAATATTCGGCACTCCTCCGGTCAGCACACTATTATTTATACTGCCATTACCCTGTGTGGGTTCCAGGGGTCCACCTTTTGCTTACCTGGGTTTAAACATGGGTTTTACAATAATTTTATATTTTTATTTAGGCTTTGCACACCCGCTTCATGATTCCGAGGTACCCGGTTCGATTCTAGCTGCGGGCGATTCGACAGCAGACCTTCTTGCATTGATTTCTCAGGGCTATACAGATTACTGACAGTGTCGTAGCAGTGCCAAATGACTGCAGGGAACTTTCCTGGAAAAACCAAACCAAGCAACACATGCAGGGGTTGGTTCTGCAATGTCCTGTAAAGGATTAATAAACAACTGATATCTTTTAATAAAAGTAATATATAAACACGGAAAAGGGAAAAGTAATAGATACATACGTGCATGTTTCACTTAAGGGGCATTTTCTATTTAAAGCATTATACAGAGTGAAATCAAACTGCTCCCAGTTACATCCAGCTACAGGTTGTCGTTCCGAGAAAGTACATGCATCAGCTGGGCCAAGCGACTCGCAAGCTGGAAGTCAAAGAATAATGCTAACGATTACATTTTATTGCAGCGCCTTTATCAATGATGAGAATTTTATACTGCAACTTTTCTAACACTGGTGATTAACCTTATGTTGCAAAGTTTTAGAATCCCTAAATATAGGGTTGCAGTGCCGACTATTACAGATAGGCTCAAGATGCTGCAAGCAACATCATATCTCAGATGTAGTCGATGACAAGAAGCGCCGCCTCCATGAAGCTCTAGATACAGCTAAGGGACACAGACTGAAAAGAGGAAGGTCTTGAATGGCCTAAGCTGCAGATACATATTGGCATGTGTACAGACTTGATAACATTGGGCGAGGAGAGGAGTGGGTCAGTGTCCTAGCAGAAGTCAGATTTGTGTAGGGTTCTAATCACATTTGTCCGTGAGTGCAAGGAATGGCCAGTGGGCTGCAGAATCTACACAGATGGCTCTGTGTTGAGAAGTTCATGTGGGTTATTGGCAAAAGCTACAGGATGCAGTTTTAGCACGGCGGTGGGGGCAGTTACTGTAACCCTCCGCTGGCTTGAGAATCAGTTGTACACACATGTCGTCAGTTTAACTTACAGAGCAAGTTGAGAAAGGTAGAGACATGTATGCTCCGTTAAGAGTGGCAAGCGTTGCTTCAGAGGTCCAGCGTAATTATTGACCTCTCGATATTTTATCCAAGCAAAGCCGGTGTATTTGGAGAGGAACAAGCAGATAGACTGGCTGGTTCCGCACAACTTAATGGTAATTGATGCATGACAAGCTAGACGTTGTAAGGGTCCTCTGAGAGCGAGTGAACAGTGCAGAGATAACGATGGATAATTATGGTCTGGGGAATTGGTGTTGCCAGGAGGACCTGGGGATCTGGCCGATTATCAACACTCAAGGAAAAAAGCGAAAGTGATATACTATCAGACAGTTACTGGTAGCTTCGGAATTAGAACTCTTCGTTTGCTGCTGAAGATGGGAACGGAGCGCTTATGGGAATATGCCGAGTGCTGTGATATGGATTGTTTATTGAACGTTCAGCATTAGGGTTGAATGGTACTTGTCTGACGCACGTTAAAGAATTCAAATATCTAGGAAGCATACTCTCGGAGGACGGGAAAAGATATCAGGAAATAGAAACAAGATCTCAACTAGCCAGAGCTCCAATATACCAAACGACACCGTTATTAAAACATCCAAACACAAGTATGAGCGCCAAGAAACAGATAATAAGCAGCAGATTCATACCAACACTGTGATACTAGTGCCAGACTTCAGCATTATCAACGACTTACCTGCGTGAAATTAACACCTGTGAAATGAGATGCCAACTTAGCCATCTGAGACAAAGTTAGAACTATTATCAGACTGTGAGAAAACAATGCAGCAGATTCATTGTATCGTGGTGCCACATTGGGCTCATAGTCTTTCCATTCCTTTCTGTCTAGTTCTTCTTCTTCTTCTTGTTCACCAGCTGTTAAACTCTGGCGGAAAGTTCTGGTTGTTCATCCACTTTTTGACTTCAGTCCTGTTGCAGAACCTGAGTGTTGCGTGTGCATCTGTTTTACAGATCTGAATTATTTGTATGCAGACTGTTAGTTCCTTGCCTCTCAGGCAGATGCACTCCGCTTTCGAAGGAAGCTCCCAGTAAGTCGACTCTTACGACATGCTTGTGGTTAGGCAGTGGGTCTATTCTTGTTGTGCCTATAATAGAGCCCAGGAACCCACACGGGGACTATCCAGTTCAAACACTTTGATATTAAGGATGGAATCCAATCCACACCTTTAACTTATCAACGTTAGGAAAGGTTTTCTCTTCAACGTCCACTTTTCCTTAATCCCTCTATTTCCCATTTCATTATCTGTTTCAGTGGTTGTACTCTGTTCGTCTGTTTTCAGTGTGTGTCCATTATTGCGCCATCTTCTGTGTCTTATAACCCCAACTCCGTTCACATTTGTGTTTGATGTTCGTCCGAAACGTCAATATTCGTCCCACGTTCAACTTGGTCAGCGAGTTGTCAGACGGGGGAAAAGTAGATGATGCTCCCTTCCAATTTTAATATTCGTCCTCTCTCTCTCTCTCTCTCTCTCTCTCTCTCTCTCTCTCTCTCTCTCTCTCTCTCTATATATATATATATATATATATATATATATATATATATATATATATATATATATATATATATATCCCCTCTCTGGAACTGCTTAATGACGAATATAGAAGTTCCACTGTATATACTTCTACTCTAAAAAAAAAGGTAAGATTATTTACTTCTTCCATTCGCTAGTGCACCATAAAACGTGGTTCAATAGGCCATATCTGACAAGCAAGTGTGCCATTAAACATTGTTCAATATTCCACATCTGACAGGCAAGTGTACCATTAAACATGGTTCAATCGGTCACATCTGACAAGCAAGTGTACCATTAGACATGGTTCAATAGGCCACATCTGACAAGCAAGTGTACCATTAAACATGGTTTAATCGGCCACATCTGACAAGCAAGTGTACCATTAAACATGGTTTAATCGGCCACATCTGACAAGCAAGTGTACCATTAAACATGGTTTAATCGGCCACATCTGACAAGCAAGTGTACCATTAAACATTGTTCAATAGGCCACATCTGACAAGCAAGTGTACCATTAAACATGGTTTAATCGGCCACATTTGACAGGCAAGTGTACCATTAAGCATGGTTTAATCGGCCACATCTGACAAGCAAGTGTACCATTAAACATTGTTCAATATTCCACATCTGACAAGCAAGTGTACCATAAAACATGGTTTAATCGGCCATATCTGACAAGCAAGTGTGCCATTAAACATTGTTCAATATTCCACATCTGACAAGCAAGTGTACCATTAAACATGGTTCAATCGGCCACATCTGACAAGCAAGTGTACCATTAAACATGGTTCAATAGGCCATATCTGACAAGCAAGTGTACCATAAAACATGGTTCAATCGGCCACATCTGACAAGCAAGTGTAGCATTAAACATAGTTTAATCGGCCACATCTGACAAGCAAGTGTACCATTAAACATGGTTTAATCGGCCACATCTGACAAGCAAGTGTACCATTAAACATTGTTCAATAGGCCACATCTGACAAGCAAGTGTACCATTAAACATGGTTTAATCGGCCACATCTGACAAGCAAGTGTACCATTAAACATGGTTTAATCGGCCACATCTGACAAGCAAGTGTACCATTAAACATTGTTCAATATTCCACATCTGACAAGCAAGTGTACCATAAAACATGGTTCAATCGGCCACATCTGACAAGCAAGTGTACAATTAAACATGGTTTAATCGGCCACATCTGACAAGCAAGTGTACCATTAAACATTGTTCAATATTCCACATCTGACAAGCAAGTGTACCATAAAACATGGTTCAATCGGCCACATCTGACAAGAAAGTGTACCATAAAACATGGTTCAATCGGCCACATCTGACAAGCAAGTGTACCATTAAACATGGTTTAATCGGCCACATCTGACAAGCAAGTGTACCATTAAACATTGTTCAATAGGCCACATCTGACAAGCAAGTGTACCATAAAACATGGTTCAATAGGCCACATCTGACAAGCAAGTGTACCATTAAACATAGTTCAATAAGCGACATCTGACAAGCAAGTGTGCCATTAAACATTGTTCAATAAGCAACATCTGACAAGCAAGTGTACCATAAAACATGGTTCAATAGGCCACATCTGACAAGCAAGTGTACCATAAAACATGGTTCAATAAGCGACATCTGACAAGCAGGTGTGCCACAGACTGTCGATACCGGCGCCAAAACATTTGAAAAGATACCTACATGTACTTACAAAAATAGTTGTTGAAGGCTTCTTGTGGGTAAACAAACATAAAACCAAAACACATCTCGTCTTCCGTTGAGTTTCCAAACTTGACATAATGGTTGGTGTTCAAAGTGTTGTAGATACATGTAGTCTTTATGTCATCGCCTGGTCTGATTTCCAGTGGCGGCATGTGGCTGCATGTGGATTCAAAGTGTAACCAAATATATTGTGTTTAAAGTAAAAGGCATTCGAAAACAAATGTATGAGAAAAGTTGTGAAAATAAAATGGGATGAATTTTAAAAGAATGAAAAGAAATATCTGCGCAACCAAGTGTCAACAGTCATAAGCTAGAGAAGATGGCGGTACACTGGACGTTTCCTGAGAAGAAACCAGCAGAGGTTCAACAAACAGGCACTAAAATGAGAAATAAAGGGATTAAGGAGGCCAGGACGCCAAAAGAAACCCTAAGATGAACGGTAATTAGAGAGGTCAAAGCTGCTGGACTGAATTCCGTCCATGATATTGAGCTGTTTCCAGATGATAGAGCGGAATAGAGGAATAGACTGTGAGCCCTGTGTGACATACAATGGCACAACAAAATAATGAATGAATTAAATAAATTCAAATATACATTCGTTGTTGTTGGCTGATGCATTTAATTTGTAAAGAAATGTCTTAGCAAAGTATCTATGTGCTTGTATCTACTATACAAGTGTGTCGTCACATCCGGTGGTGTCGTGAAATGATAGCCATTACGCATCGGTCTGTAAGGCTGATAACCTGTCTTACCTGTAATCTGCACAAAATTCAAACTTGGACTCGCCCAGAAATATATAGTCCCTTAAATCTATATATATAGGCCTGTATTGGACAACATTATTATGTCTGCCTTTTCTGGTTACTTTAACTAAACTCCACTTTTAAATGTATATCTCTTGGAGATATATTAAGGGAGTTATTTGAGGTTTCGTGGAAACCGATTTACTCCTTGCCCAAGTATACAAGGGACTCCTTTTGTTACCAACGCCTGAAGTGTCTAAGTGACGCTATTCTCCTTGCCAGCTTCTCAAGCGTCCAGATGTGTTAATCTGTGCCTGTATAAATTTCACTTTTCAAGGCAATCTGGAATGTCTCAGTTTTTACATATGCTTGGGATGTATCTTTTCTGAAGAGCTGGCAGAAGATTCACAGTCCAACCAACATCCACCAACCATCAAACCACCAGAAACAAACTGTTACCCACCAGCTAACACCTGTGAAGGTTCCTGACATCTCCAACATGTGGGAGATGGTACCTCAAACAGCTACCAGTGCTAGAGCTTAGTGTGGCTCAAAGACATTGTGTGTCCTTACTGGTGATAGAGACTTGCTAAATACCGGTACAGTTGCTGTGTCTTCTATGGTGAAGTACTCTTTCACTACCTGATCCAGTTGAGCAGAATTACCAGAGTCAAAGACAGTCGAATCATCAGGAGCTGAGGGAGGCATCATAGACAGAAAGAGGCTAAGTGCAGTTTGATGCCTTATGTGCTTTATTCCTCACAGCTCCTAGGTTGTCCAATGATGACAAGATGTCATCTCCAAGACCTTCTGTCTGTGTAGTATCTTTGTGATTTGGACAGGATATCCTGAGATCTAGCCTAGGAGATCTGGCAATTGTCTCACTTTTATATGTCTATTTTATATTGATTACATGCATTCATTTTCATGGCTGACTTAGGTGTCTCTATTTCACCTTTTTAAGTGTTTAGCAGTTGTGTATGTATGTATCTTCATTATATGTGTTAACATTGTCACGGGACGATCTCAGTGATTCCAGAAGTTAGTACTTGTAATAAGTTCTTCTGGTTCTAAAGAGAGAGGATTATATTTACTCTGCCCTTTACCCTAATATTACTTTAAACCAAATTGATTTAAATGTTACCAGTCCTTCTCCCAGACAAAGCCACTGCGCTTTGTTTAAAATTACCTAACACTACGTAATACAGCCCGCTGGTTCAGACTAGGGATGTGAGGTTGGATTCTCACGCCAGTGTCAGAATGTTATCTCCTGACCAGACTGTAGAGACTGAGCGGGGCCCTTTTGAACAGGGAAATTGAGTAGACGCTAGACATTGTGGAGCCGGGAGGTCGGAGTTTAACACGTCAGTGTAATTCTGGAGAGAACAGGTGTTTGGCAATTAGGAATGGTTTATCTTGGTCAAGGTCGTACTGTAGGCCGTTCACTGTGAGTGACAGGTCACTGGTTAGCCAAGTGATCTGATAGTTACCTCAGAGGCGGAGCTTAAGTCATCGTCTTGAGGGTTGGGCAGAACCCAGGAAAGGGAGGAGATTAATTTGGACAATAGATTGATACTTATACTTCGAGCCTGTGGAATTCCCGTCATTAATCGCAGCCTGCCGGCAAACAACACAGATCGACGTGAAGGTAATTTTACGGTCGCATTCTGTTTTGGCGATTAATGGGAAGTTCCCAGGTAAGAGAAAATATTAATTTTAATCTTGTATACTTAGGTTAGGGAGTTAAGCTTAGTCTATACTACCTTTTCCTAATTTGTCTGCACATTCTGCTTGAAATAGTTCTGTGTGAATATTCAGTATCTCAAGTTAGGGAACTGCTAAACTATTCCTATTTCCTGTATGTTTGTGTCACATGTTTTTCAGTAGATGTTTTCATGTGTATAAAATAAGATGTGAACAAGGACATTTGCTATAATGAAATGTAATTATATTGTTTCCATGATCAGCCAAAATATGAGTTGGGACTGTGGGAAATGATGCCCAAATATGTACAGGGATGCTGCTACGTTTTGTGTGCCCACCATGTGCTCACTTAATGTGTTCACCTGAACAGGGGATTTATAACCCCAGGGGAAGAATGATGGGTGTCCAGTATTCACGGTCACTGAAAGATAATATTCAGGACAGCGTGCACATATATATTGTTTGAGTTTTCAGCACATAACCTGCTCCACGTGGTCATGTAATATCAATGTCAGCCAGTTGGAAGTCTGAGTGATGACGGACAACAGACTTAGAAAGTCAACTATCATGACGTAGCATGAAGAGGGAAGGCAGGATATGTGACGCCCATGTAAGACAAAAGACCTTCAGACTAGACTGGAGAGGATGTGGAATATGAGGAGGAGTGATGGGCTATATTTTATTATTCTATGTTATATTAATTGATACATGTATTCTTTGTGTAAGTCAAGATACTACACGTATGTGTTTTGTTTCCATGATTACAGCGCCCATGTGACGATCAGTCCATGAAGTAGCCTACATTGTGTTAGACTCGGCCAGCTGGGAACGAGGTGGAGAACGAGGTGGGGGCGAGGAGGAGAAACAAGCAGGGAAGAAGCTGGAAGAGGAGGAAGAGCTTGACAGTGCTCACGGCTGTCAGAGGTTCTATGAAAGTTATGTTCATAAATTGTTCATACTTTTATCACCTTCATCACACCACTGTAATCCCAGGTGCTGTTCTCGCGCTGAAACAACCCATTACTATCATAACTTTAGCTAGTCACTGTTTGTGTAAACACAACAAACTGGGTATGTCAATTAACTGATTGTTAGAAAATAAAGCTGTATGTCAAGTTTTAAAATACATCGTTTGTTAAATTCCAAGTGTATTCAATCTTACCTGTTTTCTAAACTGATAGATAGAAGTACATTTGGTGGGGGCTCAAATAATATAATAATTCTTTAATTATTAATAATAACACCGGGAGAAGGTAGATGACGGAGGAATCACTTGCCCTGTCTAATAATTCATTAACATTAAGTATGATAGACATCTAAAATTCCTTGCCTTCTCTTGTGGGTACCAAGTTCAGCTAATGTTAATATACTTAACGAGCCAATATGGCTGTTTTCTTGGATATCCAGGACTTTGTCTGAGAGCAACATAGCTCAGATTTTAGTTCGGTTTATCTAGTGGAGAGAATGTGTTTAAAGGAAGATCCCTACTCAACAACATAAACATTTAAACCACGCGTCACGTCACAAACATGGTTATGATAATGAACTATCATAACCTGGGGGCTTTCTTTAGTAAGTAGTGGGGGTGTCCAGCCAAGTGTGCCTAGAAATATTGTATTTATATACTGATATATTTTGTAGTGCCAATACTTGAGTTGCCCTACTCCAGAGATAAGTTGAGCGTATATTGGCCACGGGGAATCCCTTAGACCAATACGAGCCAAACGACTCAACATAATTATCTCTGAGTGCTGTTGGTTCTGAAGGAGAAATCCTTACATTAGGCACGCGACAGGAGTGATATGTGACAGGTGGTTAGCGTGCCACCATAACGGGCATGCCTACAAGAACGCAAATACACAGACAACAACATAAACATGACATAAAGATTTGCTTGATTATTCCCGTTCTTGAATGTCCACCAAATCTTTTCCTTATTGTGGCATTATTGTATTTCATTTACCGTGCTGTCTGCATACCTGTCTGATTTCAAAAAAAAAAAAAAAGGTAGTAGCGTTGTAATTCACTGCTTTCTAATGATTGAATTAGCTAGTAGTTGTTTTAGTTGGCATTAGTTCAGTCTCAGTATCTGTAGTGGAACATTTTGCCTACCATTGCCTGGGTTCCAAATACCTGCTGGGGTCTCTATCCTGCCTACCATTGCCTGGGTTCCAAATACCTGCTGGGATCTCTATCCTGTCTACCATTGCTCAGGTTCCAAATACCTGCTGGGATCTCTATTCTGTCTACCATTGCTTGGGTTCCAAATACCTGCTGGGATCTCTATCCTGTCAACCATTGCTCAGGTTCCAAATACCTGCTGGGATCTCTATTCTGTCTACCATTGCTTGGGTTCCAAATACCTGCTGGGATCTCTATCCTGTCTACCATTGCTCAGGTTCCAAATACCTGCTGGGATCTCTATTCTGTCTACTATTGCTTGGGTTCCAAATACATGCTGGGATCTCTATCCTGTCTACAATTGCTCGGATTCCAAATACCTGCTGGGATCTCTATCCTGTCTACTATTGCTTGGGTTCCAAATACCTGCTGGGATCTCTATCCTGTCTACTATTGCTTGGGTCCCAAATACCTGCTAAGATCTCTATCCTGTCTACCATTGCTTGGGTTCCAAATACCTGCTGGGATCTCTATCTTGTCTACCATTGCTCGGGTTCCAAATACCTGCTGGGATCTCTATCCTGCCTACCATTGTTGGGTTCCAAATACCTGCTAGGATCTCTATCCTGTCTACCATTGCTTGGGTTCCAGATATCTGCTGGGATCTCTATCCTGCCAGATCTAGCCTTTTCTTTTCTCCCTTCCCTGTCTTGAAGTCAGAAGGTCATCTTTTGTCTGTTATTCTCCTTCCTTTCTCTGGCTACTTCTCACCATTCTTTCCTCTGATTATTTTTTCCTTTTGTTTCAGATCGTTTGCTGTGAACTTGGAGTGCATCTGCCAGAGAGGCGAGTAACCACAAGTGCCCCGGAAACCCAATCTCTGAAATAAAACCAAAGTCCAGAAATGGACTAACGACCATAACTTTCTGCCGGTAAATGCTAACAAGAAAAGCAGGCTGGCTGCTAGCGGACCCCAGTTAAACACAAAGGATTTACGATTTCTTTTACACACACACACACAAAAAAAAAGTAGAAGATTTTTAAAAAGAAAAAAGTTCGTAGAGATAATAATGTGTTAGGGGTAAAAGAGTGGCGGAGGAGGAGGATGGGTGTTTGCGGGTTCTAGCTGCCGCTCGAGACTCGGGGAAAGGCAAAGCGATTAGTTCAGATGACGGGAACCATCAGTATGTAAACCGTTGTGGTGTAGCGGTTGGATGCTGGCCTGCCGAGCGGAAAGTTATGGGTTCAGATCCCGGACCATGCAAAAAAAAAAGGACCTTGGCTCCCAAGTCTTTTTCAGCTATAAACAGGTATGAGGTAAAGTCCTGGGAAGTAAAGGCGGTTGGTGTACTGCTGAGCAGCAAAGAGCGATTGGTCTATCAAATATAGGTCTAGCTCTCAAGGCGTGGAGAAGGGTCCTTTAGTTTTGTCTGTCATCAGTTTGTGGCTCATCGCTGCCTGTTGAGGAGGAAGACAGCTGATATGGGCTTGTTTGGAATGCTGTTATATAGGCTTGTCCGGAATGCTGTTATATGGGCTTGTCCAGAATGCTGTTATATGAGCTTGTCTGGAATGTTGTTATATGGGCTTGTCTAGAATGCTGTTATATGAGCTTGTCTGGAATGTTGTTATATGGGCTTGTCCTGAATGTTGTTAAATGGGCTTGTCCTGAATGCTGTTATATGGGCTTGTCCTGAATGCTGTTATATGGGCTTGTCTGGAATGTTGTTATATGGGCTTGTCTAGAATGTTGTTATATGGGCTTGTCTGGAATGTTGTTATATGGGCTTGTCTGGAATACTGTTATATAGGCTTGTCTGGAGTGTTGTTATATGGGCTTGTCTAGAATGTTGCTATATGGGCTTGTCTGGAATACTGTTATATGGGCTTGTCTGGAATGTTGTTATAAGGGCTTGTCTAGAATGTTGTTATATAGGCTTATCCGGAATGCTGTTTTATAGGCTTGTCTGGAATGCTGTTTTATGGGCTTGTCTGGAGTGCTGTTATATAGGCTTGTCTGGAATGCTGTTATATGGGCTTGTCCGGAATGTTGTTATATGGGCTTGTCTGAAATGCTGTTATATGGGCTTGACCGAAATGTTGTTCTATGGGCTTGTCCGTTATGCTGTTATCTGGAATTTTTACCCAGGTGAACCAAGAATTAAAACGGATGTGCACGCAAAACTCAAGTTCTGGAACATGACGCCCAGAAGTGGACGAACAGCCAGAACTTTCCTCACCAGTTTACAGTGGGCGACCGCGAACAAAAAGTGATTGGGCTTGAGTTTAAACAGGAAGCATCCCTGTTTAGGGTCAATCGCCTTCTTTTGTGTGGAGAAGAAATAGACTCACTGTCCACAGAAGCATGTCGTAGGATTCGACTAAGGTTTTTTTTTAATTTGAAGTTAGAGCGCATCTACCTGAGAGGCAATCAACAAACAGTCTGCACACACATAAGCCAGATCTGTAAAATGGATGCACACGCAAAACTCAAGTTCTGGAACAAAAAAGACGTACAACTAGAACTTTCCATAGCAATTTACTGACAGTGAAAGCAAATACACAAACAAACAACAACATAAACAAAACAAAAACAAAATAAACAACAACAAATAATAACAACAAACGAGAGTCATACTTATGTGTAACTGGAGAATCGTAGTTAAACCGATCATCCTTGGCTATGTCTGCAATCTTTTTTCCATTTCTGAAGAGTTCCACTTGTATAGACTGACCTGTGGTCACCAGAAATAACATTGTACGTGAAAACAAAAACAAAAAACACAATTTACGCGAACGACGCTTTTTACGCAAGTGGTCCATCCGGCTTTCGGGACTGACCGTTTGTGCCAACAGTAAGATGAAATTCTGCAAGGGGACCGATAGAGTGTGCACATCCGATTGCTTTTTCTTATCTATTTTTACTTTGCTTGCGGAGACTCAACAATTTTGCTGGGACAAACAAGTTTTTCATTCGTTTTCAGATTGGACAGTAAAGGACATACTGTGTGTTTTATACTTGCACAGAAGCGTTGCAGTGATCTTGGACCATGGAATAAAGACTAATACCGTGGACATGTTTCCTAAATGTTGGAGTATCTGCCTGAGAGGGGAGGAACTAACAGACTGCATAAAAATAAGCAAGATTTGTAAAACTAATATGCATACAAAACTAAAGTTCTGGAACAAGACTTAAGTGAAACATTATATATATATATATTTATATATATATATATATATATATATATATATATATATATATATATATATCGACAAGGCACCTGATGATGATGATATGTAGATAAAAGGATGAACACCCCCGCCTCCTCATCGTCTAAACCAGATGCAAATGTGAGGGAGACGTCTTGAAAGAAATTAGCTAACATCAAGAACTGACAACAAAATGATTCGATAACAATCTAACTGAATCAGAATATATTCTTTGGTCACGTGGCCAGTAAAGGACAAGCGGAGGACGTCATGAAAATAGAACGGTTATGGAAAGAGAAGCTGGAAGAAATAACTGACCCTACATGAGCCAGAGTGCTGTTCACGCATATAAATACCAAGACACACAGAGCTAATTAAAACAAAATCTAAGAGGCTTCAAATAAAGGCTAGTAACGGCATTCCGTAAAAATGGCCGATAGCGGTCTAACCGCTGGCGCGCTGAAAATTTATTTGCTTTCAGCCCCGTTACGCTGATGCAAATTCTCCACTTTTTGTACCGAGGGTCCAATGGTTCCGTCGCCCATCTACCAAACCCAGTGCTTGGTGCGACAATAGGAATCGTAAATTCTAAGTGGAAGATTGTTTCTGATTTTTATTCGCAAAATTTCATATTATTGCGTAATCAGATATCCGTCATTTTAGTTCAGTCAACAACACGCCATGGGCACACACAAAACATCCCCCCCCCCCAAAAAAAAAGGACACGCGCTTGCGCGCACACACACACTCACACACACGTACCACATGAAGGTCAAATATAAAACGCATAATCTGACATGGTTAAAATTTGGACCCCACGTCCTTCGGGTACAACAAAATCACAAATGAACGTCAGAATAATTACCCAGGTAATGCATGTGGTTGACGGCAGCCATGACGTAGATGGGTTGTTTAAGGAGGTGACTGGAGCACGACCCCGAGCAATGTGCATAATCTTTCACCTGGCTTTGACCTGGAAATTGCAAGTAATAATAATGATATTAATAATACGGTACTATAATTGTAGACTACCCCAAAGGGAAACCCGGAACCCCCAGTCCGACCCACTATTCTAGGGGTGTTATGTGTTGCGTTGCGTTTTCACTTTGAGTAAACACCGAACGAAGTCATGTCAAGAACCCTCTAGAATAATGGATTGGACTGGGGATTCTGTTTTTCCATTTGTTTGGGGTCGTCTACAATTATAGTACCAACAATGATGATGATGATAATAATAATCAAGCTGAACATTAGCAAAATGTTCGCCTAGTAAACATTAACACATCTGAGCCGAGAAAGTGGTTATCACCATCCCAGATCAATTAGGAAAGAGTATTATAAGACTGACGCTAGGAACAATCCACCTGGAAGCAGAAGATCAGTTTGGTTCGATAATCTTCAAAAGTGCAGCCACAACTACCAACACAGTTACCATGCCTAACATTTGAAATCAAGAGGCAGCCCATTGAGACGTTGGACTGATGATATAAAAGACATTCTACGGTATTACAAAGCCATTGCTATCCATTGACCGTTGGACAGTAAACTTTTCCTCATAAACACGCTTAACCGCAGATGTTGATTCTGTTGACGATGGCGATGACAATTCATTGGGGCTGGATTGGTGATGTGGTTGTTAATATAACTGCTGCATCTTCATCTGAGTTCTCATTCTATGCCTGGTCGACCTGCAAACAGAAGCCAGTGTGAATGAATGAACGATTCATGGCCTGGCATCACTGCATTTAAGATATCGCCACACGTGATCCATCAGCTAGCAAAGTGTTGCCACACGTGCTCCAGCAGCAGTCAAAGATTTGCCACACGTGTTCCATCAGCCAGCAAAGTGTTGCCACAAGTGTTCCATCAGCTAGCAAAGTGTTGCCACACATGTTCCATCAGCTAGCAAAGTGTTGTCACACGTGTTCCATCAGCTAGCAAAGTGTTGCCACACGTATTCCATCAGCTAGCAAAGTGTTGCCACACGTGTTCCAGCAGCAAGAAAAGTGTTGCCACAAGTGTTCCATCAGCTAGCAAAGTGTTGCCACAAGTGTTCCATCAGCTAGCAAAGTGTTGCCACAAGTGTTCCATCAGCTAGGAAAGTATTGCCACAAGTGTTCCATCAGCTAGCAAAGTATTGCCACAAGTGTTCCATCAGCTAGCAAAGTGTTGCCACAAGTGTTCCATCAGCTAGCAAAGTGTTGCCACACGTGTTCCATCAGCTAGCAAAGTGTTGCCACACGTGTTCCATCAGCTAGCAAAGTGTTGCCACACGTAATCCATCAGCTAGCAAAGTGTTGCCACACGTGTTCCAGCAGCAAGAAAAGTGTAGCCACAAGTGTTCCATCAGATAACAAAGTGTTGCTACAAGTGTTCCATCTGCTAGCAAAGTGTTGCCACAAGTGTTCCATCAGATAACAAAGTGTTGCCACACATGTTCCATCAGCTAGCAAAGTGTTCCCACATGGGCGCCAGCAGCCGGCAAAGTGTTACCACAAGTGTTCCAGCAACTAGCAAAGTGTTGCCACAAGTGTTCCAGCAGCTAGCAAAGTGTTGCCACAAGTGTTCTAGCAGCTAGCAAAGTATTGCCACACGTGTTCCATTAGCTAGCAAAGTGTTGCCACACGTGTTCCATCAGCCAGCAAAGTGTTGCCACAAGTGTTCCATCAGCTAACAAAGTGTTCCCACACGTGCGCCAGAGGCCGGCAAAGTGTTGCCACAAGTGTTCCAGCAACTAGCAAAGTATTGCCACACGTGTTCCATCAGCCAGGAAAGTGTTGCCACTTTGGTGTTCTGTGTTACTAGGATTTGAATATAGATATCTTTGACAATGCGCTTTGTCTCGATCGTCACCAAACTTGTCAAGTATGAGTTACAGCTGTTATGAAAACTCCGTCTGTTGTGCTGCATTGTCCCTTTTATCTTAGAAAGCAGTCTCCAAGTGCGCCCTTTCGTAAAGTGGGTCATCTTCCAGAGCACCGGCAGCAGTCAGTCAATCGGCATTCTTTTTTTCTCTAACACCTGTATATTTTAGGCTACTAATTTGTGCCGTTATTTACAAGCAGCTTTAGCATACATATTTCTGTATTTCACAGCGTGCCTATTTCTGTATTCCACAGCGTGACAATTTCTGTATTCCACAGCATGCCCTCCCACACCATTACCAACACACGACATCGGAATTTTCTGCCCCTCATGTTATTGGAATATACGGTCATTATCACTGTCAGTTGTCAATGAAGAATATCTTACCTGGACGAAGCATCAGCTGCATCTGACCAACGAAAAATGTGGCCATGTTTTGGACCTCGGGTAATGCAGGCTGGATATGGAGGCGGATCCCGCTGGCGTCGGTGTAGTTGTTAGATCTGAGCGGGTTGTAGTAATGCATCTGCAGACACAGACACGCTGACACAGACACAGACACAGACACTCTGACACAGACACAGACACGCTGACACAGACACGCTGACACAGACACGCTGACACAGACACAGACTGACACAGACACGCTGACACAGACACGCTGACACAGACACGCTGACACAGACACAGACACGCTGACACAGACACGCTGACACAGACACAGACACAGACACGCTGACACAGACACGCTGACACAGACACAGACACACAGACACAGACACGCTGACACAGACACGCTGACACAGACACAGACACGCTGACACAGACACGCTGACACAGACACAGACACGCTGACACAGACACGCAGACACAGACACAGACACGCTGACACAGACACAGACACGCTGACACAGACACAGACACAGACACGCTGACACAGACACAGACACGCTGACACAGACACACAGACACAGACACGCTGACACAGACACGCAGACACAGACACGCTGACACAGACACAGACACGCTGACACAGACACAGACACGCTGACACAGACACGCTGACACAGACACAGACACGCTGACACAGACACAGACACGCTGACACAGACATGCTGACACAGACACAGACACGCTGGCACAGACACTGACACGCTGACACAGACACAGACACGCTGACTCAGACACAGACACAGACATGATGACACAGACACGCTGACACAGACACAGACACGCTGACACAGACACAGACACAGACACAGACACGCTGACACAGACACAGACACGCTGACACAGACACAGACACAGACACGCTGACACAGACACAGACACAGACACGCTGACACAGACACGCTGACACAGACACAGACACAGACACAGACACGCTGATACAGACACAGACACGCTGACACAGACACAGACACACAGATACAGACACAGACACAGACACACAGACACAGACACGCTGACACAGACACAGAACACTGACACAGACAAGCGTTACGACATAAGTTGGAGTGATTGCAGGGAATGAATTCAAGAGAGGCTATGAAATGTCTGGGCAACCATGGGTAACAACAGTTATATTAAACCACTGCCTTCTCTAATAAGGCCTAACAACTGAATCACGATACATTTTGGCTAAGTCCCCTCGAAAATAGGTTGCTGGAAGCGTTTCCATATTGCATTGTGTGACAATATAATATGCTTACAAACTTCTGTGTTCTGAATGTATTCGTATTACAAATCGACAAGCGGATATTGTAAAGTAGATATACAAGATTTTCAAACTTTGTTGTTAGATTACAGCAATTTTAATTTTGATTCACGGGAGACAGTCGTGTTGTGATGTGTGTGTCACTGTTTCTAGTCAGTAGTTCGGATTTTCGGGAACTGGCTGCTTATTACTTTTCTACTTTAAATGTAGAAATTACGATTTAGGGAAATGCAGCCAGTTAATTTAGGAAGCCATATCTGGAGAATAACATCAGTTGCAAACTATCTTGTGTAGGAAGAAAACTATTGCTTTCATATTGACTGTGCATAAATGTGGCAACCACACTGTGGATAAATTGTGTCAGATTTTCGGAGAGCTAGGTAAGGGATGAAAAATAATATTTAAAGTTACTAACTAACCTCTCACAGCAAGTCACTCTTTGCCTCTTTACTAATTGTTGACTTACAGTGTAATTATATGTTGTAGCAGTACACTAATAATATTAATCCTTAACCACTTGACTTATGACTTATGCTTCGCAAACACTGACTGTAAACTCTTGCGGAAACTTCTGGCTGTTCATCCACTTCCTATGCATATTTGCAGTTGTACAGTCTGTGTTAATTGTTGTAAACTGGCTTTTCTTTCGCGAACACTGGCAGTGATTAGAAATATGTGTGATGTATTTTTTAAACAGTTACCAAAAACATCGGAATGATTTCATCCAACAAGATGAAACTATACAAATTTGTTTGTGCTGTTTGTACCTTCAAGATAAATATTTAGTAGTGCTATAAGTACTGTTAGGAAAACTACTCTGGGTGAAAAAAAAGTATTGCATATATCAATTTCATACTGATTGTGCTTGTTTACTAATTATTAAAAAACAGTATAATTATATGTTGTAGTAGTCTACTAATAATAATAATAGCCATCAATCATTTATATTTATGTTATGCATGACATGTGTACGTTTCATAGCAGTATTTTTATGCACTAAATTTGATAAATTACAAATGTCACCCCTCCCCCCCGCCCCCCCGCTTCGCTGATGCAGCAATACCCTCTGAGAATCAAAGAGTTAGCACTGATATTTCTTTACTTGTGCTGGAACTATTTTTAGTTTACTTCTAAACGTTTTTGATGTTTATGTTCATGTTGACTGTAGCAAAAGCATTTTTGTTTGTCTGTAAGAGCCTTTATTGTTATATTTAATTGGCACACTTATTTACCTTAAAAATGACGTATAGTTATATAAAATATGTCGAAAATTAATGAAACTGTAGTTCAATTTGTGTATACATCTCCTCGATAAAAACTGTGGACGCAAAAGGACTCAATTCTTGCACAAGAATGGGAATCCCCGTTGACCTGTTAGGCCTATAAATAGAGAAGGCCGTGATTAAACGAAGACAGGGCTATATTGGACACATCTAAACCATCAGGGCCGTGCCTTGCTATGAGATAAAGATCCGGCTGCCCCAGGCGGCACCGTAAGGGACTTTTCAAGCAGCGACATTAAAATACAGTTATAACACTTAGAAGACGGCATATCAAAGACTTGCACCGTCTTCCTTCTGAGAACCATCACCAAACAGGCAATATATTAGGGAATTTGGGGACTGAAGAAGCTGTTTGTTGACCGGTATGTTGACATTCATAGACTAGGCAAATGTCTTCGGTAGAGTCGATAGAAATATGTTGTGGGAATGTATGGGAAAAAAGGGAATCAGCAGTCATCTCATTAATATTTGCAAAAGCCTGTACACATGTAGTAAATGCTGCATAAGATCGAAGACAGGGTTGTCAAGAACTTTTACAGTGACTCTGGTGTGCGTCAGGGCTGTGTACTATCGCCACTTCTTTTTCAACATACATGGATACCATATGTAAGGAAACGAACTTTAATCATAAAGAAGATATTACAGATTTACTATTCGCCGGCGACCAGGTACTCATAGCAGAAAGTATGGAATGCCCACAGAACCACCTGAATAAAATGAATAACAAAGGGGAAAAATATAATATGAGAATAAACACTAAGCCGGTGATTCACGTCTGTAATCCAATCGTGGTTTTATGGAACTGGTTAGATGCATTGGCTAAAAGTAAAAGTAGTGACGAGGAGTGATTAATTCGCACGTGTAAGCAGGTAACTTCTTCTTCTTTCTTCTTTCTTCTTTGCGTTCATCAGCTGTAAACTCTGGTGGAAAGTTCTGGTTGTTCGTCCACTTCTGGACAGCAGTCCTGTTCCAGAGCCTGAGTGTTGCGTCTGCATCCGTTTGACAGATATGACACATCTGAGTGTAGACTGTTGGTTCCTTGCCTCTCAGGCAGATGCACTTCGACTTCAAAGAAAACACCAATTAGTGGACTCTTACGACATGCTTTTGGGTAAGCAGTGAGTTTCCCCTATAATAGGGCCCGGGAACCCACAGGGGGTCAGCAGGTAACGATTACATAAGAGGATATCACGTGAAATTTTGTCCTGATAGCGACGCTGGTGAAAGTATGCGCGCGCCGCTAACATCATAATATTAGAAACTGGTAGCGTTCTCATGGTTAAAGATGCATTAGCGTAAGCCTTCAGCGAAGCGGTGTTCCCCCCTCCCCTTCCTCTCCACCCGCTACGTTTTAGACGTGAATCGGGTAGCGTATTTGTAATATTTTAAAGTAATAATAAACAGTAATCTAATGAATTGTTCTTTGGCAATGGAGAGAGTTAAAGGTGGTTACAGTGGCATAAGCAATAAGTAAAATGAATGTATTGAACAGAATGATTTTAACTTTTGATCTTCACATATATAGCGCTGACAGAGTTAAAACTATGTCACGTTCATATTTTTGAAAATTTTTTTTTTATAAATCTAAACCTTAAGAACAACATATTTTTAGACTGGAAAGCTGATGTAATAGGCTTTAAGGATTGAGTAAATTTTCACACTGGAAGCTGGCTACTTTGTTATCCTGTGATGGCAAAAAAAAAAAAAAAAAAAGTTTATGCGGTTGAACAAGGGTTCCGAGATTTACTCCAGTTGGATTCACATCCGAAAACGGCTCCTTGCGTCACTGGGTGTCAGTATTTCAGCTGTCACACGTTTTATTAGAGGTAAACTAGTTGGCTGAGACTCACTAGCAAATAAAATGGAGGAAGCTGTAGGAGATGAGGTATGTGCTGCTCATGTGTCTAAGCCATCTAGTTTACTCTCAGCGGTCGCGGTATAGTCGCCGGAAAAAAGTCCGCAATTTTCCGTACAGGTATGTCCAGATGACAGGTGGACACCTGCAAACGGTCGTGTGTCTTTCCGACAGCGATGATACACCATCTTTCTGATAGTTGTTTCTGCAACGTCTCGTTCTGTGCAGAATGCTATGCTGTTGCAGGAAAGCAATGCTGGTCTCCTTGTCTCGTACAAATGCTACTAACTGTAGAAAATTCATGGCTAGAACGAACAGCAGACAAAGATGAAAACTGCTGCAACCAGACGCGGCAAAGATGAAGACTGCTGACGCGCGGTACACACACGACATAAGAGGCGCCAAGCGCGCGCTTTTGCGATGCACTCTAGAAGCGAAAAATCCCTCCAACCTTACCCCCCCCCCCCCCCCAAACCCTTCCGGACATTGAATGTTTCCCGTGACGTCATCGTGACGTCATGGGGTAAGTTAAAATTATTGTACCATTTTCTTTTTAATTACATATAAAATATATGTTGGGAGTCGCCGTGGCCGAACGCCTAGACGCACGCCTGCGGATTGAAAGGTCGAGAGCTCGCTCCCTGTCGAAGCCGGACTTTTTTCCAGGTCGATCCAGGCTTGAGTGGGTACAGGGTGCAGTCCTGGGAAGTAAAGGCGGCCGGTGTGATGCTGACCGCATTACCCATCTTGTGCCCATTGGTCTATAAATTAAAGGTCTAGCCCAATATGCCCTATAGTCTAAAGGAGCAGAAAAAGGTCCTTTATGCTATTTCAAAATGTGAAATCAAAACAATTGAAAATCAAGAGGTAAAAACCACGCCACAATTATGCATTACCAAATTGTACCTGAAGAATGAGTTTTGTATTGCTCGTTGGTCCAATCCTGTAGCCAGCTGTTGGTCCAAAGCACTGACCGGACAGACCAACAGTCCAGGCACTGATCATTTGCATACATTTCTCACTGACCATTCCGCAGAGGTGAGGGGTGGTGATCACTTCATAATCTGAAAGCAACAGGAAAAGCCATAATCGGTTATCCTTCGAATGACGATCCCAAATTATCGACAATTTCATATCACACCCATCAGCCCCCCCCCCCCCCAACCATACACAGTCACACGCACCCACACACACACACTAACACACACACACATACACACACATTTATATTTGAAACCAGTTTTGTGGTGCACACATTTTTGAAAATTATTTAAAAAACTCTTTTTGCCATTTTTGTCAACCCCCTTGCTATCCCCCCTCCCCCAGTGATCACATCCAGGGTTTCAAACACCCCTACCCTACGCCAGTGCAGACAGCGCATTGCTACAGCTAAAAGACGCTTAACCTACGTCAGTGCAGACAGGGCATTGCTACAGCTAAAAGACGCTTAACCTACGTCGGTGCAGACAGCGCATTGCTACAGCTAAAAGACACTTAACCTACGTCAGTGCAGACAGCGCATTGCTACACCTAAAACACCTCTAACCTACGTCAGTGCAGACAGCGCATTGCTATAGCTAAAACACGCTTAACCTACGTCAGTGCAGACAGCGCATTGCTATAGCTAAAACACGCTTAACCTACGTCGGTGCAGATAGCGCATTGCTACAGCTAAAACACGCTTAACCTTCGTCAGTGCAGACAGCGCATTTTTGAAAATTATTTAAAAAACTCTTTTTGCCATTTTTGTCAACCCCCTTGCTATCCCCCCTCCCCCAGTGATCACATCCAGGGTTTCAAACACCCCTACCCTACGCCAGTGCAGACAGCGCATTGCTACAGCTAAAAGACGCTTAACCTACGTCAGTGCAGACAGGGCATTGCTACAGCTAAAAGACGCTTAATCTACGTCGGTGCAGACAGCGCATTGCTACAGCTAAAAGACACTTAACCTACGTCAGTGCAGACAGCGCATTGCTACACCTAAAACACCTCTAACCTACGTCAGTGCAGACAGCGCATTGCTATAGCTAAAACACGCTTAACCTACGTCGGTGCAGATAGCGCATTGCTACAGCTAAAACACGCTTAACCTACGTCAGTGCAGACAGCGCATTACTATAGCTAAAACACCTCTAACCTACGTCAGTGCAGACAGCGCATTGCTACACCTAAAACACCTCTAACCTACGTCAGTGCAGACAGCGCATTGCTACAGCTAAAACACGCTTAACCTACGTCAGTGCAGACAGCGCATTGCTACACCTAAAACACCTCTAACCTACGTCAGTGCAGACAGCGCATTGCTATAGCTAAAACACGCTTAACCTACGTCAGTGCAGACAGCGCATTGCTATAGCTAAAACACGCTTAACCTACGTCGGTGCAGACAGCGCATTGCTACAGCTAAAACACGCTTAACCTACGTCAGTGCAGACAGCGCATTGCCACAGCTAAAACACGCTTAACCTACGTCAGTGCAGACAGCGCATTACTATAGCTAAAACACCTCTAACCTACGTCAGTGCAGACAGCGCATTGCTACACCTAAAACACATCTAACCTACGTCAGTGCAGACAGCGCATTGCTACAGCTAAAATACGCTTAACCTACGTCAGTGCAGACAGCGCATTGCTACACCTAAAACACCTCTAACCTACGTCAGTGCAGACAGCGCATTGCTACAACTAAAACACGCTTAACCTACATCAGTGCAGACAGCGCATTGCTACAGCTAAAACACGCTTAACCTACGTCAGTGCAGACAGCGCATTGCTACACCTAAAACACCTCTAACCTACGTCAGTGCAGAAAGCGCATTGCTCTAGTTAAAACACCCCTACCCTACGCCAGTGCAAACAGCGCATTGCTACAGCTAAAACACCCCTACCCTACGTCAGGGCAGACAGCGCATTGCTACAGCTAAAACACCTCTAACCTACGTCAGTGCAGACAGCGCATTGCTATAGCTAAAACACCCCTACTGTACGTCAGTGCAGACAGCGCATTGCTACAGCTAAAACACCCCTAACCTACGTCAGTGCAGAAAGCGCATTACTACAGCTAAAACACCCCTACCCTACGCCAATGCAGACAGCGCATTGCTACAGCTAAAACACGCTTAACCTACGTCAGTGCAGACAGCGCATTGCTACACCTAAAACACCTCTAACCTACGTCAGTGCAGAAAGCGCATTGCTCTAGTTAAAACACCCCTACCCTACGCCAGTGCAAACAGCGCATTGCTACAGCTAAAACACCCCTACCCTACGTCAGGGCAGACAGCGCATTGCTACAGCTAAAACACCTCTAACCTACGTCAGTGCAGACAGCGCATTGCTATAGCTAAAACACCCCTACTGTACGTCAGTGCAGACAGCGCATTGCTACAGCTAAAACACCCCTAACCTACGTCAGTGCAGAAAGCGCATTACTACAGCTAAAACACCCCTACCCTACGCCAATGCAGACAGCGCATTGCTATAGCTAAAATACTCCTACCCTAGGCCAGTGCAGACAGCGCATTGCTATAGCTAAAACACCCCTACTGTACGTCAGTGCAGACAGCGCATTGCTACAGCTAAAACACCCCTAACCTACGTCAGTGCAGAAAGCGCATAGCTATAGCTAAAACACCCCTACACTACGCCAGTGCAGACAGCGCATTACTTTAGGCAACTTTAACGTTCAGTTGTTTGCCAGTGCTGTATGAACGATCAGCTCTCGCTACCACAGTCGAAAACAACACAAGAAGATTTGCTGCCAAATCGTCGGCAGCTGGGATGGAACACGAAACTCCGGCATTACGAAGCGCGTTCGCAACACCAAAGCCACAGACGCCGACGTCAAAACTATTACCCCCCCCCCCCCCCCCCCCCCCCCCCCAAAAAAAAATGTTTAAAATGCAACAATACAAGAAACGGGACAAATCTTAAGCAAGCTACTATGTTCCAATATTTGGGCAACCGTACAACAGCAGATTAATTATTATTATTCTTTGCTTCACCATTTACCGCTTCAGTTGTCGAGGGAGAGACAAGCAAGGCTGTCTCCAATATCTGCACTGAGGCATAGCATATTTCGCAGGCTTAGTTAATAGCACTAAAAACTTCACAACAGCTTTGGAAATGTAAAAAGAAAGAAAGGTTATTACTACACACGTCCACTATCACTTCACTCTGAAAAACTACACAGGTGAAAATCGTATGTCCACTATCACTTCACTCTAAAAATTACACACTTGAAAATCTTAGATCCACTATCACTTCACTCTGATAAACTACACACGTGAAAATCGTAGGTCTACTATTACCTCACTCTGTAAAATTACACACGTGAAAATCGTAGGTCCACTATCACCTAACTCTGAAAAACTACACACGTGAAAATCGTAGGTCTACTATTACCTCACTCTGAGAAATTACACACGTGAAAATCGTAGGTCCACTATCACTTCACTCCGAAAAACGACACACCTTTTGTTGTCCCACGTTTTACAACTGACCGGCAGAGCACCACAGCCCACACTGGAACTCTCAAAACTCTCAAAGAACAGCCAAACGCCGGGAAAGACACCATCATCATCATGTAGCAGGTCCTTTGCAGAACGTCGCTCTGAAAGAAACGTGGCCTCTCGTCAGCTCTCCCGCCTCATGTACTTCGATGCTCAAGGAGACACTTATATCCAGTGACCATCTACGTGTCGGTCGGCCCCTGCCTCTCCTTCCTGGCACCATGCCTTCTACTATAATTTTGTTCAATCGGTCGTGGCGCTTGATATGACCAAAATATTTTAGCTTCCGTGAAACACACAAGGACAAAATAAAGGACTGCTAGGTTTTAGCTAAGTCTGGTGTGACCCTACAATAGCCATAGAAGCTATACTTTTAATCATCTGATACAGATGATGCTCCACGCTATGACGTTAAACAGTCCATCTTCATTTCTCTCCATCCCCCTCTGTCTCCGTTCCCATCCAACTTTCCTACTGTCATGAGGTACTCCAGTTTTCTCCGTCTCATCACGTGACCAAAGAATGTCTATTGTCTCTGATGTGGGCAATGTGTTATCTTTGTGAGTCAGCTTCTTTAGAGACATCTATTTACTCGCTTGATCTGTCCAGGGTGTTTTCATCACTCGTTTTATCTGTCCAGGGTGTTTTCATCACTCGTTTTATCTGTCCAGGGTGTTTTCATCACTCGTTTTATCTGTCCAGGGTGTTTTCATCACTCGTTTTATCTGTCCAGGGTGTTTTCATCACTCGTTTTATCTGTCCAGGGTGTTTTCATCACTCGTTTTATCTGTCCAGGGTGTTTTCATCACTCATCAATAAAACCGCACCTCAGCAGCTTCCAGATAAATGCTTATAGGATAGCTCCAGCAAATGCAGCATTTCTTCAGAAGAATCAGAAATGTCCCATAAAATCTATTTGTGTTATAAAGGTGGGAAAGATAGTTTTGAAGAACTGTATAGTTATTCCTGATGCTGCTGCATGCTTGTCAACATGGACTGTATACAGACGTCATCGAAGAAGCACAATCACTTCCATACAGTCTGACAACAAAAATGCTGAATATCAAGGGGCAAGGCAGAATGGTCTGCCGGATACTGGATTGAGCTGCCATTCCCAGCATCCATACCAAAACTGATCACCATCATCATCATCAAGTGCCTTGCCAACTGGCGTAGGCGTTCATTTGTCCCCACAAATCTCAACCCTTGGTGTTCTAAATCAATTCTACTGATGATATTCTTCCATACCACTGATGATATTTCTCCAGGCCACTGTCTTAAGCCACCCATCATTATTTCTCTTGGTCTGCCTCTTCTACCAGTGATCTTTCCAGTCGTCACGATATTTTCCAGTGGTCCTTTTCTCATCACATGACTAAAGAACCATCCTGATGCAGTCACAGATTCCATGGGCAGTTCACATCGTTCGCTTGCTAGACCATCGCCTTCCAAAAATAATCTTGTACTGTGAGATACACGAGGGAGACACTAGAGAAACACAAAATGAGAATTAAAAGCTACACAACTGAAAAAAAAAAAAAAAACATCTTCTTCTTTTTCTTCACTTCCTTCTTTGCTTTTATCGGCTGTAACCTCATGCCGAAAGTTCTGATTGTTCGTTCAGTTCTGGAACCTAGTCCTGTTTCAGAACCCGAGTGGTGCATGCACATCCGTTTTATAAACGGATCTGACTCATTTGTACTTAGATTGTTGGTTCCTGGCCTCTCAGGCAGATGCACTCCGAATTCGAAGGAAGATCCCAATTAGTCGACTGTTTCGACACACTTTGGGGGACGCAGTGAGTCTATTCTTGTTTTCCCCACAATGGGGCCCTGGAACCCACACGGGAACAAAATCTAACTCCTCTTTGCCATAGCACTGTACGGTATGAGCCAGTAATTCCCAAACAGTGCGCTGCGGGCCCCCGGGCAGCCGCTATCACTTCACAAGGGTGCCGCGAAATTTTGTAAAAGCTTCATAATTAATTTAATCAAAACACGAATAGTCATACTTTTACCTAGGTTAGAGAGCCGTGGAAAATTTGTATTGAAAAAATGGCGCCGCGAGCAATGAAAGTTTGGGAAACACTGGTATAAGCAGTAGGACAACAACAACAACAACATCAATAACCACAACACCAACAATACTCCTCAGACACGACGTGGGAAACGGATAAACTGGATTACATCGCGAAAACAGGATAGCTGGAAAGGAAGCAATACGGCGATGTCAAAGACAGAGGACACCGGAGAGGAAGCGACACGGGCGAAGGCAAAGATAGAGGATACTGGAGAGGAAGCGACACGGGCGAAGGCAAAGATAGAGGATGCTGGAGAGGAAGAAACACTGGAAAAGGCAAAGATGGAGGATACTGGAAAGCAAGCTACACAGGCGAAGGCAAAGATAGAGGATACTGGAGAGGAAGCGACACGGGAGAAGGCAAAGACAGAGGATGCTGGAAAGCAAGCACGCGACACAGGCGAAGGCAAAGATAGAGGTTACCGGAGAGTAAGCGACGTGGGCAAAGGCAAAGATAGAGGAAAATGGAGAGAAAGCGACGCGAGTGAAGACAAAGGTAGAGGATACTGGAGATTAAGCGACGTGGACGAAGGCAAAGAGGATACTGGAGAGGAAGCGACGCGGGCGGAAGCAAAGATAGAGGATACTATAGAGTTTGGCGTTATAGCATGGTAGAGTTATACTGACCGATTTTGCATGCAAAAACAATGATGTGGTGCAGAACATTTCTATTGTCGACGAGTGGTTCGCTGGCGATGATGTGGTGATCGGTCTCCAGTTCTAGTTCGAATCCCTGACACATGTAAGTCGTGATTGTCTCGGGTATTTTCGTTTCGCTAAATTTCAGATCCAGGACTGTCACATCTGCAGTGTTAAAAATCATTAACAAACAATTAGGTGTCGCCTCCACAGTGAAGGTTAGCTCTGATGGATCGTCACACTTCCTGTCTCTAGTACTGAATGTTCTCTCTCTCTCTCTCTCTCTCTCTCTCTCTCTCTCTTCTCTCTCTCTCTCTCTCTCTCTCTCTCTCTCTCTCTCTCTCTCTAAAACTGTTCTTCCTTCAACTCTTGCAGTTATCCCAATTGTATCGCTATCTTCCTCTTACTGGCATGCCTTCATCTTTTGCCACTTGAAAAGCTTTGACGTGAGTATTGGTGTGTTTGAGGGATTTACCTTTAACAGAAAAACTGGTATGGTTTTCACACCGAAGGCTGGCTACAGAAAAGACCGCCCCCCCCCCACCCCACACAATATCCCTCCTCCCATCCCCTTCATTCGTTGCACGCATTCTAAGACTACTGTCAGTTCACCTATTTATATTACCCTAATCGTATCGCTGTTCCCACCTTACTAGCTTTCAAATGTCATCTCCAATATTTTTTTTCTTTTCAAAAAGAGTATTATGTACTTTTTCGTGGACAAAATATTTCTGTTGAAATGACATAAATAGTTAATCTATATTAATCATCAATGATTCAGTTGGGAATGAGTTTAGGATCTGGACAATAGTATATTTTAAAAAAATCAGGTTTAAAAGTTTTCGGTCAAGAGTATTTACCGCATTGCACCCGGTTTTAGCCAATTTCATATTTTGCCAACCCTAAGTGCCACCAACCAAATGAAAATACAATCAACCCTCTAAACCTCTAACCAAGAAGCCACCCAAACGACCAATAAGCTAGATAGTCAGTTCATCAACTAATATAACAATGAAACAATCAACCAATCATCCAACAATTTAAGCCAAGCAATCAGTCTCACAAGCTAAACAATCGGAGCCAACCGCCCCCCACACGATCGACTAACCATTTATCAACCAACCTATAGAACAACAAAAGAATTAACTAGTCATCCAACATCGAAGCCAACCACTGAAGGCAATCATGCAAGCTAAACATTCTAAGCCAGTCAACTTACTAATTAACCTGCCAACAAATCAAGCCAACAAAACAACCAAACAGTCGGTCAACCATTAAAGCAATCAATATATTTGCCGACCAGTCAACGAATCAATCACCATAAATAAGATGCTTAAATCTTACTGGGCTTCCGGACTGCATCACATCCTTGAAACTGATCCAGAGCGCAGGAGAGAAAAGCGTTCTTCTTCTGGCACGACGGACTGTCATGAGGATCACACACACCTGCAGATGATATGCTCTTATATATAGAACACTGTGCTGGACTGTCTATCAAGTCATAGTGGAAACCCAGGGGACGCCGTGGACTTTTTCCAAAATGACCTTGGCTACCAGGTCGACCCAGCTTTGAGTGGGTACCAGGTACAGTTCTGGGAAGTAAAGGAGGCCAGTGTGATGCTGACCACACCAAAAACCAAGTGCGGATTGGTCTATAAAATATAGATCTAGCCCTATATGCCCAATACGCTTGTAGGCCTGATAAAAGTTTGTTAGTTTAGCAACCGACTCGCAGTAACAGAATGGCATGCTTTCTAGTTGTCAGTCCGGAGGTGAAGTGTTTAAATCCCTTTCCACACAAGGCTTAAAGGGGACGGAAAAGGGGGAGGGGGGGGGGGCTGAAATGAACAGACATGTCGACCCATCCTAAAATATCGCTAGAAAATGTTCGGAGAAGTAAATTCCGCAGTCGAGAGAATGCCCACATCTACTACAGAGTCCCAATGAATTTTTCTTTATTGGAAGCTAGCACCATGATCACATTTATCATCATCATGTTTGGACATTCATGCTTTACATAAGTCTTGCAGTCTATTCCATAGTCTATTATGTAGTCTATTCCGTAGTCTATTCTATAGTTTATTCTATTCTCTATTATGTATTCTATTCCATAGTCTATCCCATAGTCTATTCTGCAGATTGCGTCTATTCCCTGGAGAGTTCCGGTGTCACTTTGTGTGTGAGTGGTGGTGGTGGGGGGGGGGGGGGGGTGTTCTAGAATAGATCTACAGCTTTTTAATAAGCATGTCGTAGAAGG